TATAAAGCACTAGGAAGTGACTTACTAAAAGGCCACTGTAGTTCCGTCTAATCCAAACATCGATATCCACAAGTAGCAATAAGCTTGACTCCAACAAAAATACGTCTCAGGAAAGTTTGGTTGACTCTTTACTTAAACAAAATATATCAATACAAACACATATTTTCACAGGTCAAAAAAACGATATTGCTCCGTCATTCTTTTCTCCTTCTCACCTCTAATTACAAGCAGCTGCGGTCATCTATGACGTCAATTTTACGACGGCTGGTTTAAATAAATGATATAATAATACTAATAACAAAGGATTACAATGTTTAAATATATCTATATACACACATAATATATCAAATTATACATTTTAACATATGGCTCCTACTGTACAGCCACATTGAGGTTCCTTTAATGGCCAGGAAATAGAACTAAAAGACATATTACATTAACACAGTGAGAAAAAAATCAACAATTATCCAAAGCAGGATATTTTGATTTAAGTATACTCAAAAGGACAATCCACATGCAAGAAAATACAGTTTCATCCTGAAACGCAATGAAAATACCGACTTCTATACTCACCTCACAACAGGCATTTTGTTTTTAATAATGAGACCCTTGTTTGCACCAACATACACACACACACAATCGGAGCACGATTTAAGGCAAACTAGCACCAGACTGCCATGCTAATTACGACGAGTCAGAAAATAAACCTTGAGTATTAAAACCACTTGAATATTAATGGAGGTGTTAAAGCGGAATCACATTTATTTCCCTCCTAGGTCAAGTACTGGGAAGAAAAAACATTGTTAGAAGCACCATTATTCAAATGAGAGTGCACAGACCGTAATAGAAATCAGCCCAGCCATTAACTTCTGTTTTAACACAGCCTAGTAATTTTGTTTCCATCATTTGTAGACATGATTGACTGCGCTGTTCCTGTCTATTGTGGAGCATGTAAATGTGGCCTCATCCATATTTCCCAAAAAGCCTCGTTCAGGACCTTAAAAGGCTCCAAATAAAGATAAATTAAGGTAAACATGTTGGCTTAATCTGAACTAATGCCTGCTAAAACCAAAATGAGTGCCCAAGAGTGGTTTCAACAGCCACTGTCTGCTGGAAGCAAGGATTCTGAACTCACAGTAATAGTGGTGATTTGTGTTCATCAATGGCCTTGAATGAAAGACATAAATACTGTGATGGCTGTCGGGATCAAAGTTCAATTAAAATATACATTTTACATGGTTATACTTGTTAAATCCTCAAGCCTTAAACTGTCCAACCTCGGCATTAATACACTTTTCCATTATTAGTTATTTCAAGGTAAAGAAAAGTGTTTTTATAAAAGCGCCACGACAATGCCGAGTTTTATATCTTAAAGGTCCCATGTCATGGCCATTTCTACTGATCATAATTCCATTGTTGAGGTCTACTAGAATACATTTACATTGTGCAATTTTCTCACATTGGTTTCTCATACAGCATCTCTGTATAGTATGTGTATTCACTCTCTGTCCTAAACGGCTTGTTGGAGCTCCCCCCCCCTCCCTGTGAACCCAGTGGCCGTCTGCGAGACACAGCGAAACCCAGCCCGAAACACACACACACCCGCAGCCTGGCTGGGAGTTTGTGTGTGTGCTCAGGCTGAGTTCCGCGGTGTCTCGCTGTCTCGCCGACCCCACAGCAGTGAGCCAGCTCACACTGTCCCGCTCCTCGCAGCAGCGAGCCTCGCAACATCCTGCCGAGTGTGTGTGTGTGTGTGTGTGAGGAAGTCTGCGGATTGGTCCAAACGTAACGGCTCCGCGGACGTAACGGCTCCGCGGATTAGTCCATTTGGACCAATCTGCGGAGCCGTTACGTTACGTCACTATACCCGAATTACGTCACTATACCCAAGAAGTAAACAATGGAAAAAGAGAAATCTCCAACGAGGCGTTCTGGGGCAGCATAGACAGGTCTTTTCTGTGTTAGAGTTGTACTCGCTACAGGGTGTACTTTGAGGGTTTGTGACTCTGCAGACCGTTTACATGCATACAAAGCTACATAACACACAAGGGGACGGGTAATAACCGGAAAAGCATGACATGGGACCTTTAAGGCTCCACATATCTTTTTAACGTCTCCAAACAACCAAATTATTGAAACATTAGTACACCATGTATTTTAAGGCTACATACATAAAATAATTCCTCCTGAATGATTGATGCCCTTTTTTAAAGCAATATCCAGTTAGCTTAGCACAACGCTGTACATAGGGGGAAACTGCTAGCCTGGTTCCGTCCAAAGTAACACATGTTGTTAACTAGCACATCTTAAGTTTAATAATCAACATTTATGTTTTGGTTGTTTAATCGATACCAAAAAACAAATGGTAAAAACAACAATTTGTGGTTTACGGAGGGTTATATGCCGAAGTGTCTTTGCTAAGCTGCCGTACAGATACTGTATGAGGGATAAGAGTCACAGATATGAACATTTTCCCAAATGATTAACTATTACTGTAAACACATTTCACCTTAATTCAGTATTCAAGATATTTAGTATTGTCTCCTAAAAAAAAATGTAATATAGGTTTTTTTGCTAAATATTAGTCATCAGGACTGAATACCTATCAATGTTTGGCTGTGCAACATGCTTCTCCAAAGATGTATTCGAAAGTTTGTTGTCTTCCAGCTTTGAGGGGGTTAAAACTTCAAACAACCTAAAACATTTTAAACTAAACCATTTACAACCCTGTCGTTACATTTTGCCGAAAACCCATCATGCACTCTGTAATCAATCCAAGCTTATAATCAATAAATCAAGTGTTGTGATACTATAAATGAGCTATGTGATGGCAAATCTAAGAATTTGGAAATAAAAAAGGCGTTGCTTATGACATATTATGGCTCGATTTTGTGTTGGATACCTGATATGTTTAAAACATTATGCTAAAATATATGAAAATTATGTCTGCATCAACTGCAATTTGGCAAGTTTTTCCCCCCCGTAATTTCTCCCCAGACGCTTTGAAAACAGTCGCTCCCTGCAGAGATGATCAAAGAAGCAGGGGATCCATCTTGACACAACACCTTCTCATCACGCGTCTAAAGGCAGCTCCCATTGAATGGACAGATTAAAAAAACATTGCTGCCATGTTAGATACAGGCCAGCACTCACACTCCATAATTATTAGCCTGATGATTGCACACGAGTGTTTTTGGCTGTTGCATCTGGCGATGATGGAAGTTGTTGTATGTATCTACCCGCATTTTCCTGGCTGTCAAAATTGCATTCTGAGAAAGCCGTACTCCTCTCATCAAGAGTCATAATTTACTTGTCAAAGCAGGAGTCCTCTCAGCGGGCGGGAGGCTCCCCGGGGTTATAATTGCGAGACGGTTTTGCTTCTCCTGAAATGCCTTCAGTCAAGATGGAGCACAGGCCTGCTACTCTTTGTGTACTATTTCACTTTAAAAGTAGCCATTTACGCAGAAAATTGTAAAACATGGTTTAAAAAAAAAAGATATTTGACTACCTTCACTATACTTTCAACATCAACTCCTTGTCATCAGAGACTTTCCACTGCTGATTACTTTGGTGCTCAGAGAGCTTCTCTACACTGACACAAGGTCCCCATCTGGTGGAGGGAATAAGGAAGTCTTCACAGAGTAGAGGTCAGCTTCGGTTTGAGAGATTACAGCTAATGCAGGATTGTGTATGATTTTTTTTAAAGTAATGAATATTTATATTAATCATTCAGAAAGGAGGATGGTCATTCTCAAGTATTGTACTTAAGTATACATTTGATTACTGTATTGTATGCCCCTTTTATACTCCACTTCATACCAGAGGGAACTATTGCATTTAGTAATTTGTCAGATATTGTACCGGGTTACTCGTCATTAAGATTTTACATAAAAACACATGCTTTTAAAATACAAGGCGTAGTTCAACCCTTGTTGTGTTCAAAAGCTGTTACCGTTCATGGTGTTTTGACCCATGATTTATCTCAGTCCAAAACACTCCAAAATAATGACTATCATCCAATATTGTTTTAACAACATCATAACTAACTTATTATGCATTCATTACCGTACAATCCTGTTGTAATTTTATTTTATGGCCCCAACAAACATTACAACACATATTTAAGTAAAACATGTGATTCAATTCACTCATTATATTTCCTATAGTGAAGACAGTGGATCATTACGTTATCTGGGGGGCGTGTGGCGTAGTGGGTTGTCCGTAGGTGTTCGGTTCAGGGGGTCACAGGTTCAAACCCCACTGCAAACAGCATGTCATTGTGTCCCTGGGCAAGACACTTCACCCCAAATTGACATGGGGATTGTCCACAGTATTGAGTATGTAAGTCGCTTTGGATAAAAGCGTCTAACAAGTAACATGTAATGTAATGTAATCTGACTATAATAGACTATTAGAATACAATTTCCCCCCAAAAGGTTTTAAATTATTGTGACAGTGGATGAAGGGGGTGGGGCTGGGGTGTCACCCAAAACAATGCTGCTGAACACGAACACCAAATTCTACACTTTTTTTTTAGAGACCTTCAGACTTGGCTAAAATGGTCAAAATCAGTTTTGTAGTGTTTATATAGCTGTTGAGGTGGAAGATATCATGAAGCCTTGTTCCGATAAAAAAAACTTAGATCGTAGTTGTTATATCATTTTAACTTGAAACGGGTCACGGGAGACCCGAACAACATAAGGGTTAAAAAGTTTTATGGCCTTACAAAAAAAAAAGTCTAGTAGGGAAAATGTGTCGCATGTAGCCAGTGATTACTCTTTAGACTTTTTTGTTGGGAAAAATTGGGAAATTATCAAATATTACATAAAAAAAGGAAAGATTTAAGAAAGTTAAAAAACAAGACCACACATTTCGGTAACAGATTTTTGCCCAAATGATCACACATCCACTCAAAAACCTTATGAACTTTACTTAAAATGCAGTATATTTTGTTATGATATTCTAAAACACATTGGTTTACAGTAAAGAAACAACCTCAGTTCTTCTTCCACCACTTTATTCAAAATAATTCACATAACATGAAACACTAAATGGTATTTTCATACAGTCTCAGAATCTGAATCTGAATCTGAATCAGAAACAGGTTTATTGCCAGGTAGGTTCACACATACGAGGAATTTGACTTGATCTCATGGTGCAGACATAAAATATAAAACAAGAAATCTTTAAGGACAAAATATAGTTAAATAGCAATAAAATAAAGCAGTCATTTACATGGAAATAGAATGCTATGAATGAATTATAGGATATGAAATATGAAACAAGAAATATGTGCATCACAGTTCTCCATTGTTCAAAGCCACCACATCCTCCATCTTCTCCAGCAACCCCTCTATCATAGAGTTGCGTTTCTTGCTGCTCAGCACATGATACCTGCCCTCACATTTCTCCACGAGCTTCATCAGCTCCCCGTTCCTCAGTATCAGCTGCTCTGCGCTCTCGCCTAACATTTCCCCCCACGTGAACAACACCATTGTGCGCTTCCAAATGTCTTCCCCGAGCAAACCCATGTGCTCTTCCACTGCTTTCCTGTACTTCTGTGTGCAAGTGAGGAAGGCCGGGATGAGCAGGAGGACGATTTGAGGTTTGGTTTGACCCCAGGAGACGCTGTCCAGGATGCTTTTCCTTTGCGTCGTGTTCGTTGGATCCGGTCCGTCTCGCCATTTCAGACCGAGCGGCTCTGCGACGGCACATTGGCGTCCAGCTATCTGACCTCTCCAGGACCTGAATGTCTCAAAGTCATCAAGTTTGGATTCGTCTCCGCACAGGATGGTGACGCCAGCTGGGGAACGAGACGACCAGGACTCTCCTAACACCACCACCCTCAGATCTTTGCCTTTTGAGCCTCTGTGACCCTGACTTGGAGATAAAAACTGTACATCTTGAGCAACCTTAGCCCTTTCCAGATCCCCTCTGCCTTTACTCTCCTTTGTCTCTTCTCCTTTATCTCCCATCCCTTCCTTTCCCTGAGCTGTCTCTATCTCTTCCAGTATTTCAAGGTGACCATTACTACTCTCTGCTATCCTCTGACCCTCCCTTTCCTTCTCCCTTCCTGTTCCCTTTTCCCTTCTGTCGCTGACCTCTCTGTACATTAAATGCATGTCGTCTTCTGAGCTCTCAACGGCGTCTGTCCCATCGAAACAATCCATGTCAGCATATTCTCCACTCTCTTCTCTGCGCAACCCTTCCTCTCGTTCTTTGAGATTCTGTTCCCATTTGCCCAGTTTCCTGAGTGACGTCTTCAGATTTCTCTCTTTGCTGTGAAGTTCTTCCTTCAGCAGAGCCAGGTCCCTCCGCATCTCATCCAGCTGCTGCGTGGTGGAGTTGACGCTCTGGTTTTGCACCTGCAACTCCGACTTCCAGTTGATCAATTCCTGTTCTTCGTGTCTTAAGTAACACTCCTTGTCTTTCAGCTCCTTCACCTTCTCCTGAAGAGTATGACCGTGACAGTTCAGCTCTTTCTGTTTCCCCTCCAGAGCTCTGAGCAAGATGTCCAGCTTCCTTTCCTTTGTCTCGATGTTTTGCGACCTCATGTTCACCTCATGCTCGTATCTATCTTTCCCCTCTACACTTGCTTCCTCTGTACTCACTTCTTCTTCCTTACTTTCCAACCCTTTCACTTTTTCAACAAGCTCTTTCTCTTTCGCATCGAGGTCATATCCTCTTTGACTCAACTCTTCTTCGCTTCTCCTCAGAGCCTGTTCCCTTTCCTCTACTTCGTTTCCTCTTTTCAAGAATTCCTCATCCTTCATTTTCATCGCTCTTTCTTTCTCGACACAGTCTCTCATTTCATTCGTTTGCCTTTCTGTCTCCTCTCTCCTTTTTTCGTTCTCTACTTGCAGTTTGTCGTTTGCCTCCTTCAACCCCTCCACTTCCACATCTCTCTTTTTAAGAATGTCTTCTTCTGTGCTCTTCACCTGCTCTTCATATCCTTTGAGATGTTTTCTAACTTCTTCCTCGCACTCCTTCAGCTTCTCGTATTTTATTTTGAGGTTGTCCGTGTCTTTCCTCAGCTTCTGGTTTTCCTCCTGCAGCTCCTCAACTCTCCTCCGACTGTCCTCATATTTCTCCGCGACTTCCTCTGAGCGACGTATAGCGCGATCTCTCTCCGTCGCCATAGTGTCCACGCCATCGTTGCTTCTCGCAATCTCCTTTTCATACCCCTGAATCATGCTCGTCGTCTCCTTCTCCATCTTGCGGGTGAGCTCCTTCAGCTCTGACTTTGTCTGCTCGATTAGAGACTTGAGTTTGAGGATCTCTCTCTCGTTTGCTCCGTCTCTCTGCGTCAGTTCTTCATCTTTCTCCTGAAGTTTTCCCATCATTTCGGCATCTTTGTTCTGCTCCTGCTCGGCATGGCACTGCTGTATCTCCAGGATACTCGAGGCTTGGCGTTCAATTTCTTTTAAGTACTTGGCACATGTCATTTTCGCCTCTTCCACTTCTTCGCCCCTCTCTGAGAGAAAACATTGTGCTTGTGTTATTTCAGCCGTTTTCTTGTTGATGATTTCTGTCAGTCGGTTCAATTCGTTCTCTGTTTTCTCGTCCTCTCCCTTCCATCTCGTCTCCGTAGACTCGACCTGCAGTTTAACACTTTCAATTTCAGTTTCCTTTTCCTTGAGTTGTTTCTCCATGTCATTAAGAAGCTGGAGTTTCATCTCCTCCATCTCTCGCTCTCTGTCTCGCAGTCGCTGCTCTGCCTCTTTCTTCTGACTCAGAATAATCTCTCCTCTCTGTTCGTCTTTCCTCTGCAGGATTTCTTCAATATCCTTCACATGCTGAATCAACTTTCCTATCGTCTTCTCTTTTTCTTGGAGTTTTTGCTGGATCTGTTTCTTGTGATTTAAATGATCCTTGTCTCGTTCCTCTTGTTTCTGCTGCCATTGTTGCTCCAGGTCTTTTAAATGTTCTTTGATCACTTCCGTTTCCCTTTTTCCTTCTTCCAGTTTTTCCTCCATTTCTTGCTTGTGACTTAAATAATCTTTCTCGTTCTCCTCCTTTTGTTGCAGCTTGTCCGTCATTTCTTTGACACTGAGTTTGATATCCCCCATCTCCTTTAGTTTTCCCTCCAGTCTTTGCTCCATCTCATTCTTCTCCTGGTCACTTTGTTGCATTTTCTCTTGGATTTCATTCACGTGCTGACGTTTCAACTCGTCCACTAGTCCGTCTTTCTCTCGCATTCTTTGCCAAATGTTTTTCTCATGATTTTCATTCATCGCTTTCTTCTCGTTTTCATTTTCGAGCACCATTTGTTCTCCTTTGGCCGCAAACTGTTGCTCCAGCTCTCTTATCTCTCTCTGTCTTTCTCGCTCCATCTCACTGTATTTTAGTTTGACCCTTTCCACTTCTTCTTTCTTCTCTCTCACTTTTCGTTCTATTTCCTCCTTGTGTTCAGCACTTGTCGTCTCCATTAGTTTTTCCATTTCATTCATTTGTCTTGCCATTTCCCCCTCATGCTGCCGTTTGAGCACTTCTACCTCTTTGTCTTTCTCTTGCATCATCGTCGTCATGTCTTTCTTGTAATTAAGATGAATCATGTCCTTCTCTTTTTCGTTTTCCAACATGTGTCCTTCAATTTCGACAAAATACCCTTGCTCCATCTCTGCTATCTCTCTCTGTTTGGCCTCTATTTGTTCCTCTGTTTCTGATGCGAACTGCTCTTTCAGCTCGGCAATCTTACTACGCTGTTCTTCCTGCATTTCCTTTATTTCCTTGTCATGCTGTTGTTTGACCCTCTCTATATGTTCGACATTGTCCATCAACTTCCGATCAATTTCTTCTTGATGTTGAACTTTCATTGCCTCCGACATTTTTTCTATTTCACAAATTGTTCTGGCCATCTCTTCCTGATGCTGCTGTTTTATTTCTCCCATCTCAGTCTCTTTCTCATGTGCTTTTCTCTCCATCTCTTTCTCGTGTTGTGATTTCATTTCTTCAACTTTCAGTTCTGATTCTTTCTCACATTGTTTTAAATGATTGAGAGTTATCTGCTTTTCCTCTGAAGCTTTCTTTCTCAGTACTTCCTGCTCTTTGTCTCTTATTTCCATCTGTTGTTGAAGTCTTTCTTCCATCTCTGCCATCTCCCTCTCTTTCCTCTGGAGAATATCCTCATGGTGTCTTTTAGTATCGTCCATTTCCACTTTTAAAGAACTCACTTTTTCCCTCCACTCTGCTGTCTCTTTCTTCTGAAGCTCTACGTTTTCTCTCAACTTCTTGACCTCATTCATCCATTCTTGTTTCTTCCCTTTGATGCCGTCTTCCCACTGTTTTCTCTCATGTTCCTTTTCTACAGTGGCACGTTCAAGGTCGAGCATCTTCTGCTGCTGCTCATCAATTCTTTCTGTCAGCTCCTCAATCTCGCTTTCCTTTAGCTCCACTTTGAGCACGGCCTTGTCCCTTTCCCCTTGGCTCTGGTTTAGTGCTACCCGGAGTCTCTCATTTTCTTCGCTCAGATCTTGAATTTCTTTCTCTTTCTCCTCCGTCAGCCATCGCATCCTCTCCTCTAGCTCCCTGATATCATTCCTCCTTTCGCCCATCCTCCTGTCCTCTTCCTCCTCCTCTTCCCTCTGAACGCCGGCCTTTCCGGGCGATTTCACCTTTTTCTTCCAGTCAAAAAACCACCTGATGCTTTTCATCTCCCGCTCTCTGATATTTTTCAACTCTTCCTCCTGACGAAGCATTTTATCTCCTATATCCTTCAGGCGCTGGTTGAACTTCTCGTTTCTCTGCCGGCTCAGATCCCTGACGTCTTGCACCAGGCCGGAGAAAGCCTCACATCGGTTCATCGCGGCCATCTTTTCCACCTTCTGCAGAAGCTCCGTCACTTTACTGGAGTCTCCATTTCCTTTCCCTCCTCCATTTACGCTGCTGATAACGTGGTACCTGCCCCGGCACTTCTCCAGGAGCCACTGGAGGTCCCTGCCTCCAGATTGGATGTGCTGCTCGATATCCACCCCCTCCCGAAGCTGATCCCCGTGTGTGAACAGCAGTATTGTGTGTCTCCATACACCCTCGCCTAAAAGCTCTAGATGTTCCTTCACATGTGCCGCCTTCACCAGTGTATCTACTCTTAGAGTCAGCAGGAGAGCGTGAGGCCCTGGAGGACAAAAGGCCACACTACTGACAATCTCCCTCTTCACTCGTTCAGGTGTGGCCCCCGCTACGCCTCCCTCCCAACCAGGAGTGTCCACCACCGTCACCAGCCGCTTGGCCACCTCCGCTTGCTGACGGACGCACTCCTCTGTTACAGCCCCGCCTTGGAAGAAGGACGTGTTTCCCAGGATGGTGTTTCCAGCGGAGCTCTTTCCTGTTTCACGCTCGCCCAGGAGGACCAGCCTGACCTCGGGTAAACGTCGAGGAGCCTTGGAGAACGAGTGGTGGGCGTCCAGCTCTGAACCCTGAACACCATCACCTGCAAGGGAGGAAGGTACACAAATGTTACTATCACTGTGAAATAAAGTTGATGTTAAATGCTGCATCACTTAATTTATTGTACTTGCAAGACAAAAACACTTTAAAAAAGCTACTGAAACAGACATCAGCCACTACCTTAAGTTTCTCCATTCATATCGGAGTGTTAAAGGTAGGGTAGGTAAGAATGGAGAAACCAGCTTGAGTGCGCTACAATTTGAAAGTACACAACCGAAAAAAATCTGCCCCTTCCTTCAGACTTCCTTACAGAGCCCCTCCTCCAACACACACGGACACGCACATGACCAATGAGGGCACGAGATAAGTTTGTGCACGAGATGGAAGGCTTACAGGCAGGTAGGCCATCCAGTTATCTGACCTGGGCCGGCTCAGATGATTGGACTTGCTTTTTACAGCGCCACGGCTTCCACAGATGAAATATTTATATATATTGTTTCTGAAGTGAATTACCTTCCCATACCCTTAATATACCACCAAACAACTAGCTGTGTAATAATATAGTATTGTAATGTCATCTTTTGCAGAGAATGAAGTCACGTCATGGACTGGCACTAGTAGACATGTAAGGTACAGTGGGTTTACAAACGTTTTTTTAAATGTAAAAAGCTGACTGCTGCTCCTACTAAAAGTTGTTTTCTTGCCAGGAAAAAACTAAACTGAGTTCAAACACACTAGAGTCTTTGTGGATTTAACACTTAATGACATTTTTCTTATTGCACTTATACATATTGAACATAAATATGATTGTAATAGGATTCTATGTTTTTGAGAGGACCGACTGAAGAACTTACTCATTAGAGCTGCTTTGATGTTCCCTCTCTGCATCTGCGCCTCCATCTGCCTCTGTTTCTTCCTCCTCTCCCTCGCTCTGCTCTTCCCGTCAGCTTCCAGACCCACCAGGACCGTATTATCCATCTCTAAATGACTGCTTCCACCCTTCTTCCTCGCCACCATCTCCTCCAGCTTCCTTATCAGCTCTTTCACCTGAGTCCCATCTCCTTTGCTCCGGTTATCCACCACATGGTACCTGTTCCCGCACTTCTGGAGGAGCTTCTGCAGCGCCGGGCCGCTTGTCAAAATCCGCTGCTCCATGGAAACCAAACCCAATTCATCTCCCCTGGTGAAGAGCAGCATGGTGTGCTCCCAGACTCCTTTCCCCAGCGGCTCTAGATGCTCCTCTATCTCCCTGATGTAGTCCTCTGTGACCGAGGCGCAGGATCGCACCACCAGCAGCACAGCGTGGGGTCCAGACGGGCAAAGCGAGACACTCCGTAAAGTCTCTCTCTTCACCCAGTTTGGGGTGCTGTTCAGCGGGTAATACCACTCCCACCCTGGGGTGTCCACCACTGTGACTTTCCTCCCCGCCACATCAGCTCGCCTTTTCACACACTCCTCCGTAGGCTTCCCGCTCTCGAAACCTCCCGCAATTCCTAGGATGGTGTTGCCCGCCGCGCTTTTCCCAGCTCCTTTCCTGCCCAGTAGGACCAGTCTGAGCTCTTGGAGAGCCGGGGGGGCGCTGTGGGAGGCAGGGGGGGTTTGAGAGTCCATGGCGTCCTGCAGACTCTCATCTGTGAAGAAAGGCAGAAGGACTTCCTCACTGCATCGTACCGGGTAAGCTGAATGACACAGAAGTAGCAAAAATGAGTCATCTGCTATGCTCCACTTCTAAAACTGCATTTCAAGCCACATTTGAACTGTCTTTCTTCTGTATTTACCATAAGAAAGTGCATTATTGTTTTAATTACATCACACATTAAGGTGCCTTCATACAACTCACACGAAATCAATAAAACTAGGTATAATAAAAGGTAAGCAAAGAATCTAAGAGCTCTGACAAACTCACCACCGTTGGTGACGATGACTGGACTAAAGCTCTCATCTGTCGTGTCCATCACCTCTCCGACCGCTCTCTTCCCCTTCCTCTTTTTAGTTCCTGTGTGACTTTTACAGGAAGAGCTTGGTCACCTAGATTGTGAAAGAAAACCCTCTGTAGTGAATTTCAAAATGACGATTCGTGCCGCACAAACTGAACACAGAAAGTGGAAGTCGTGTCACGTGACCACCGTTTGGTTTTCTAACATGCTGTCATTCAGGACGACAGGAAGTGAAACGATGGCAAGGTGAGTGTCTTTGACCCAGTAACGTGAACATGTTTGCAACACACACACAAATGCATGCTGCACAGAGCTGCAACACTTATAAGAACATACACAGCGTTTATATGCATGGTGTCACACGTATGCAGACTTTTTGTCGAAACCTGCAGAGCTTGTATGCCGACGCTGCCTGTGGTGAACGTGTGTCACTTCTGTTTCCTCTACCCACAAGCTCAATGACACTGAGCTGCCTTGTGGTTAAAGAGTTCCTGCCTCTATAAAAAGTACATGAAAGTACAAAGTTGGCAGACAAAAGATTCATACAAAGTGCATCTACTATTATCGGCTAAATCTTTCTTTGTCAAAATGTCAAACTGAAAGGAACAGCATCACATGGCGAGTTATAATTCTGTTGCAATAATCACTTCGCCTGTATTGACTATTAACGTTAAAAGTTCAGTCTTAATCTTGAAAACAGTAATGCTTTTTACAAATGAAAAAATTAAATACTTTAAAATAAGTTCACATCTGCTAAAAAACTACATTATAATGTTTAATAAACCATTATGAAGGCAAATATATTTTCGTAATTCAAGTATGTTATGTCATCAAGAATAACGTCTGAAACTCACCAAAGAAAATTAATTGGGAAATGTTTACTTGGAGAACACTTCTATAGAATAAATCTAATTTGAGTATTAAAGGGCCCATGTCATGCTTTTCCGGTTATTACCCGTCCCCTTGTGTGTTATGAAGGTTTTTATGCATGTAAACGGTGTGCAGAGTCAAAACCCTCAAAGTACACCCTGTAGCGAGTAAAACTCTAACACAGAAAATACCTCCCCAAAACGCCTCGTTGGAGATACGTCATTGTCCATTTGATTTTTCCATTTCGTTCCGGGTACGGCATGATGTCATGCCGTACCCGGAACGAAATGGACCAATCCGTGGAGCCGTTACGTTAAGCCCCCGCTGATAAGTCCAAATTGACCAATCCACGGACTTCCTCACACACACACACTCTATGTGCAGGCAGCTCTGCTGATTTCTCCTCCCTGGCTGCAGGCTGATAACAGACAGTTGGGATCGCGGCGACATTTTCTCTGCAGACCCATTCTCACAGCGTTTATCAACCTTTTTCTTACTCAATATCAAGCCACACTTATTGTTTTTACTTCGGCTGTGAGTTTGTGTGTGCTCAGGATGAGTTTGGCTGTGTTTCGCTATGTATCCTAAACAAGGAAACAACACCTCCACGGAGCTCAGCGCGATTCACAACGTCCCGACCAATCAGAGCACACTGTGCTCACAGGGAGGGTGGGGGCTGGAGCTATTGGAGCTACAACGAGCCGTTAAAGGCAGAGAGTGAAATTCAGTGAATACACGTAGTTTACAGAGATGCTGTATGAGAAACCAATGTGAGTTTGGAAAATTGCACAATATAAATCTATTCTAGTAGACCTCAACAATAGAATTATGATCAGTGGAAATGGCCATGACATGGGCCCTTTAAACAAAATAAAACAAAATTCTGTTGGTCCACATGGTGCAGCTTCTAACGTGATCAAATCTGACATTTGCGACTCTGGAAAAGTGCAACACAAATCTTTGTATCCTCTCTAAGCATAAGGGACTAACACCTAAATCCACACTGGTGCAACAAATAACCAAGTGATTGATGCATTTCTTAGCATGATGCATTTATTTCCGAACAGTCGTCTCATTGTGTGCAGAGCCTCTCATCATGCCTGCCTGCTGTCACTGAAACTTGGCAGTGTTGCGCTCGCTGGCATCACACATGGTACAACATGTTCTCCAGTCCCAGTCCTTTTTAAAAACACATATTATATCACACTCGCTATGATTCACCCTTTCCTTCAGCACCAGTCAGGGTTAATGAAAACAAACCGTGTTCATGGAAAGGCCTGAGTCAACCATATTGATTTGGCGCTATTAACTTGAGTGGAGTTTGTTTTGAGGTCTGTTAAGTGTTCGCTGAATACAACCATGATGGAGGCCTTTTCACAACACTGCTGCTTTCTGTAAATGTCACATGAATTACGTTTTATTGAACTCACAGCAAAACCACTTCCCTCCAAATGGCGCTTGCATCTAAATAACATACTATAAATAAACACTTAATCTCAAGGTTGCTCTTTTTAATGTACATTTTCATTGGCTCATCAGTTTTCCCATGAAATAACTCGGAATAATATGTTTTGGAAACACAAAATTATACAGTAGTGTTCCTTCTAAAATGAGTCTGCCAGTTAGATGTGGTAGAAAAAAAACCTTGCCTCTTTCTGCTTTTAGATGGAAATTAAGCTAATGTTAATGTTTTGGGTCGTTCTTTTGGAAATTCTTCCTCATGGTGGCAGCATATCATTAAATGAATGAATGAAAAAGAACCTCTTGTGCACATACAAAGTGGAGACTGAGTTCTTCCTCTTTACTGCGCTTCAAAGTAGAGGTGCCATTATGGAAAAGAAAAGTAGCAATAAAAGTCATAATGATGGGGGAAATGTACAGATGTATGCACATTATATATACAGTCAATAACCTTTATTAACCAGGTAAAAGACTCAATTTGAAATGAGATTCAAATCTAGTATCTTCAAGAGGGCAGAATCAACATTGTTCCAACAAAAAAATACAACTCTTGCACCAGTCCAGATAATAAGCAATACAAAAGGTTATTATGCATAAAACAGGTATCATTTTAAAACAATTAAGTCATTTTTTTGCGTTGAGTTTGATGGGAAATTTTCGCAGAGAATGGGGAATGTGTACAAGTTTTCTTAAAATAAGGCTTTTGTTTGGAGGGTATTTGCTATTTGCCAACAAAGGTCTTAATGGTGTTAATACTCGGCTAACAAATAGCTCCAAAATATAACTGGGTAACTTTTTAAGTGATGTCGATAACCCGGGCCAATTTTGGTTGCCACAGACCAGCTTTAGGCCACTTCAGTCATCCTAAATCTGACCGGTGCACTATGTCAGTCTTTTATCACAAGTCAGACATAAGTCAAGTAAACAGGAACTTATACTGTAAGTGAAATTAGTGTAATCAGGAATTACCAACTGAACTAAGACTTCAATAAAGAGGCCACAACAGTCTGTGTTTATTTACATCCTAAACCTATGCCCTCTTTATTTAGAGCTGAGGCTAAAAACAGAGGAACTAATGGTGGAGCAGTTGGAGTAAAGAGAGCACAAGCCAACACCTGAAATAAAAGCATCACTCTTAAATATGCCACCACAAACCATAAAAAGAGTAGATTCTTCAGCACAAGACCACACCTTTTTTAAGTAGAAAACAAGGGGGACAACATTTAAAAAAAAAAAAAAAAAGGCAGCATAGACCTTATCCGTGAGCTCCATCCAGCTGTGGGTTGTGCAGCGATGGTAGATTCCACATCCTGCTCGTAAAATAGGCTGTCCAGTCACACACACACACACACACACACACACACACACACACACACACACACACACACACACACACACACATTCCTCTCCCCTGTAGGGTATTTAAGCAGAAGCAGAAGTTTCCCAAGACGGAGCAGCAGCAGCGGATCCACTCCATCCAACAGCAGCTTGTCTCTCCAACTTCATCTGAGGTGCGTCCACTCTCCATTTTAACTTACTTTTTAATTTACAAAAGTTGCTGTAATGCCACTGTTTCATTAACCCCAACATTCCTCAACAGCATGGTATCTGTTTTTGTTTATACCTTCCAGATGTGAGTTGTTGTGCAATCGTTCAAACATGCTCGAACAATGCCCTTTGTGCATCACTACGATTTAATATTATAATCAATGCACTTTTCTACTCACTAAAGTTTGATTTAATGCCTGGTTTACATTCAAATAAGTTGGAGTAACTATAACAGTGTTATTACCTGGAGTGTATACAGTAGTTAGTGTGAAGTAGCACTATTTGTTTCAAGGTTTTCTAGACTTTTGAGGTGCATGTTGTTTTGTCTCTAGCATGTATAAAATGCATGCAACACTCTGGCCATATAACTTTTTGCCGGGTAAAGTATGGTCTTTGCAGAGAGTTTTATGGCAAGTAAAAAACCTCCCCGAGCATTAAAGGTCTCAGTCCTGCTGGTTAACGTGCAGAGTTCCTGTGTCAGCATTTGCCAAAGTTGTGTTAAAAATCTGTGTACGCAGAAAAGTAACAAGTGTCAGCGATATGCAGTAGTGTGAAGAAACTATATGCATTGACTCCAACCCTCAAGTTAAGAACAGTTAAGAAATACTGTGGACTACAGTATTTCCATTTCATGCCACTTAAACTTCCGTTCAAGATTTCATCATTTGAAACGTTTCTTCATGCAGAACTGATACCATATTACCAAAACACCCATATTTCCAAATGTAGCACTTAACGTAGATTCTGCGTATTTGATTGAGTTCTTCCAGCAATGCCCATGAAGAACAAGTATGACTTTATTCAACATGGATCTTGTCGGATATCTAGGATGTGTATATGACTTTGAAATCAGCAAATAAGAAAGTGGAAATGCAAATATGTAAGAAAAACTCAAATAAAAGTAAAAATGTTGCATTCAAATTCCTCTTCCAGTCAAAGTACAAAAGTATCCATCTCAAAATGTTCTTCCAGCATGAAATAAAAGGTATTTTTGCTGCAGAAGCATGGTCATACACTGCAGAAGACTTCACATCAATTCACAAGTAATATTTAATGTATGCAGCTGTCCTGAGGTAGAGACCGTTTTAATTACTCTTTATGAAGTTAGGTTGTTTAGTCGGCTGGTTCTGATCCTGGGAAACCCCTGAAATTATCCCAAGATAAAGAGTGGTAGTGGTGAGATGACCAATTACATTTCGCTACACAATTAGCATAAATATTGTGGCATTTTATTTCATGTGAAAATATTCATAAGTGTTACCTCTTTGTGCCTCGAACAGTGAGTTAAATGAACCCTCTGACATGTTCCAGGTGTTTATGTGTTAATGCCAAAGAGCCCCAACTACTGGCTGCTATTTCTTTTTTTGTTAGTAACTGGGTGTTTTTAAATAGTAAAATGGTGCTTAACTAGTACAGGTAATTAGTTGTGATTTCCTTTCCACCAATGAGCTGCCGCCTGTCTGTCTGCCCACTCGTCCTGTGCCAGTCTGCAGAAGGTAGGCACGTCTCTGAGGGGGAAACAGAGCTCTCTCTGTCTTTGGCGGTGACTCATGCCGTCCAGTCGTCCCAAAAGCGCCTCTCCTGGTCCAGCACACGCCCCCGTTATGCAACAGTGAGCAGGTGTTCGTCCCATAAACCTGACGTACTGTACACCCAGCTCGCACCTCATGAAAACACCTTTTGTGTATCTGATGTTTAATCAGCCTTCCCACATGGTTACATAATCGTCATGGCAGTAACTGCTCGGTGTGGTATGTAGACCCCATGTGGGTTTATGTCACTTTGGTTCTGTTTTATGTTTTTAGGATTAAATGAGTCACTCGGAGTACACGGAGGGTCTTTGTTTACATCAGTGTTATGTGTTTTGAACCTGATGTTCAGTTTGTGTTTATTATTCTCACCTTCACAGACTTTTTATGAGGATTTTTAACAACTTTACGAGACTTTAATAACATCTTCTTTTTACTAGCATTACTCCTTGTATTGCAGTACTACTAAAGGTCCATGACCAGTGTGTTTTTAGTCATTATTAAATTATCACTTTACCAATTATTGGTCATTAATCTGCTTTTTTTATCAACTAATCGATCAATTGTTTGGTCTATAAAATGTAAGACCATTTTCAAAGCCTGGTTTTGTCCAATTAAAAGTAAAAAACCCAAATATATTCAACTTTTTATCTTAAACATATTATTTTTAAATATAAAAACACTATTTTATTCCAGGACATTATAATAAAAGTATTGGTTATGTAATTATACATTTCTGGTTATCACAAGTTCTCTCCCTACTAATAGTACTGCTACAACTTCCTTCTACTGTAGTACCAAAATCCAAACTCAACTCAATGCTTAACAATTTTATTTTAAAATTATTAACCCTGCAATTGGTTGGACTATATTGGACTGCATGCAATATGCGGTTCTAGTGTCAGCGGGTATTTATATTGTGTGTTTATTCAGGAACTTTCACAATGACATGATTTCACACAGAAGAAACCCACAGTCAGTTTCACTGTGATTTCCCTTCATGACCGTTCTGTATTTTAATATACATGATAAATGCTTCTCTTTCTGACCTCAAGAAAATATACAAATACAATATTTGTGAAGTAAAAATAAAGCACTAAAAGTGTCTTTGTTTACCAGCATCTTCCAGGAAGGGGAGTGGCCTTAAACTCTCCCCCACCCAGCACACACACACATTGAAACCACATGGGACATAAAAGTATTCACACTGATCATTATTCACATACTTTAATTATTGTATGGACTGCTTTTTTCCAATCTCTATAAATGATGTCATTTTTGAACAAAGGGATAATCACACACACACACACACACACACACACACACACACACACACACACACACACACACACCCACATATAGGCATGTTGCCAGTTTTTCCACAGATGTGTAGCAGATGGGTTTTACACAGCTTGTCTTCATGCAGGAATGAACAGAGCTCGACGATAAGAATTCACCAGAGTTTTCAGTCAAAAAGTTGTTCCAACAACAATAAAAGTGTAATAATTAGTACAAATGTTGTGTTATCAGTCTTTTCAGATCCTCCTCCTCGAGTTATCGCCACCATGTCTGATCCAGGCGCCATCGCGACCTCCTCTCCCGCCCCCCCTCCTCCCACCGGACCCCGACCCAAGATGACGAGCAGCGGTCGCTCTGCAGTTCCCATCTCCACCTCCAACTCTGACTTCACCGACATCCCTGAGTTTGAACCGTTTGGTCTGCCGGGTCCAAGAGGATTCCCCCCTCTGACCGGTGAGAGAGGATTCTGCAAAAACGAGGCTATTAAACTTAAGTTTTATTAAGTTCAAGTAATAGAAAAACCTTTATAAATCCCTGTATGGAAATGTGGGTGTCTTAGCAGCAACAGCAATAAGGGTAAACACAGGATAGGACAGATATGACTGCACACAAGCATAATAACAATTATACATAATATAATAATAGTAGAAGAAATTTAAGAATAAAAGTATGTAAAAGAAAAAGTGACAGTATAACTTCAAATTAACGGTGTTTTACGTATATACAGGTATGTATAGCTATGGGATTGTAATTATTATATAGTAATTATTGTACTCTTAACAATAAGATCTAGTTCATACAGAATTTATTTATTTCTTAATCAAAAATTGAATTGAAGGAGACAGATGTCACTTCTTAGTTTGAGGAGACTTTCCCGACACTGATACAGTTTCCAGTAGTTTTTATACATGACTGACACATGAATGACGTCCAAGCAAGATACACTCTTATCACTTCATGCAGCTGTCGCACAAGATGACAGCCAGAACAACAAATGAGCGGCTGTAAGGATAACTGAAATAATAAGCCATCACTGAGTTTTCTGATAAACTGCTGACACACTTAGAGAGCACTGGTCTCCACCACTCTTTTTTTTTTAGCAAATATCCAGTATCATTTGATGGCTGAGGCTCTATCTTCCATTGTTCACAGTTTAGCTGTCTCCTCATGTTCATCGGGGCTAATTCATTTCAGTTCTTAAATAATTAAAACATCTAGGTTACCTGGATGTTTTAATACAAACACACAAATTCAATAGTTTTGTATTTGTTTACTTGAATATTTTAAAACAAGAACGGTAGCCTTATGTGTGAACACTTAGGTCAGAAAACCACCAAAAATGTTGTTCTGAGCCTGAGGCTTACATTTCAGTGTCATGTCATGACTGGTTGAAAAATACTGCTCTACTGATCTTTATTCCTCTCTTTTCCTTCAGACTATCTTGACATCTTGGGCGTAGACATGATGCGACGGCCGGAAGAGAACAACAAGCAGCAGCACCACACCAACTTGTACAACTCGGACTATCTGGTGGTGCGTCGAGGACAAGAGTTCGAGGTCAAGATCACTTTCAACCGTCCCTACAAACCTGCCTCAGACAAGTTCGCTGTGGAGTTTGTGATCGGTGAGCGCGTCTTCAAACTCATATTTTCCATCATATGATACGATAATACTTTAATGGTCAGATCAAGTCTGAAATTTGACTTGCATCACAGCAGCTCCATGTGTAACATCAACATGGACAAATATCAAGACACAACACATGACAAACAAACATTTATCACAATCACTGAGAGAAAACATTTTCAAAGAGCCTTCAGCGTGCATCTGATCTGGGATTCAGCTCTGTATTTACTGTGAGGATTGACTGGAGCACAAAGGATGCTTCAGTCTGACTTTATTGAATCGCGGGACCCTGTATCTCCGATTAGATGCTAGCAGTTCATATTCGCTGTTCAGAACATGGTTTGGGTCAGAGATGATGTTGTTGGACAGCCTTATTAGGTTGTTATGATAGGCTGAGTCATAAAGTCTCTGACAGGGTTGACCAACAATCTTTGAGCAGATTTTAGGTGGAGCAATATCCTGCAGGTACCAAGTCTTGATTCTGTTTTAATGTCAAACGTCCCTCTTTTCCTCCAGGCTCCAGCCCTCAGTTCAGCAAGGGCACCTACACCCCCGTCTTTCCCCAGAATGAGCGTGCGAGCCCCTGGGAGGGCCGCATCACCAACACCGCCGACGACACGGTCACTATGGGCGTCACGGCTGCTGCCACCTGCACCGTGGGGAAGTACCACATGTACGTCGCCGTGGTGACGCCCTTCGGTATCCGCAGGACCCGAAAGGACAAAAGCCGCAACCTCTACATCCTCTTCAATCCCTGGGCCTCAGGTTGGGTTAAGGCGTCCACAACTTATTTTTTGAACCACTTTAATTTAGCTTTTATCAGGTTTTCAAGATTCAAGTAGAAATAGTGCAGAATAGTCTATATACAAATAATTGGAATATTGATATATATAAGTTGCAAACAGATGGATGTTCTTTCAAAAGTTCAGGTGTTTAACAGTCTTATGGCCTGTGGGATGAAACTGTCCCTTAGTCTGGTGGTTTTATCCATAAATATCCACGTGACTTGTTGTGTTTGTCCTCAGCTGATGCCGTGTTTCTGGATGATGAGAAGGAGAGGGATGAGTGTGTGATGAATGAGATGGGGATCATCTACCACGGCGCCTATGATGACGTCGCTGAGAGAAACTGGAACTATGGACAGGTAGAAGAAAAACCAAAATAACAAGAGCCTCAGGATTGATTATCTTAAATATCTTTTGACTTATTAAGGTTTTGTTTTCCTTATAGTTTAACTTTGGAGTCCTGGACGCCTGTCTGTACATCATGGACCGGTCCGACATGCCCATCACTAACAGAGGAGACCCCATCAGGGTGACCAGGAAGGCCTCTGCTATGGTGAGGAAATATTCATAGACATCCATTCAAACTCATGAAAATGGTTTACAGAAACATAAGATATGCAGTTAAATGGTGCAACAATACAAACAGAATATTATTGTGCAGTTGTTACGTTCCCTCCTGGACTAGGGGTACAAAGGGACGTAACAAAAATATCAAATAACCGGGAGAGAGAAAGAAAAGAGGAAACCGATTGCTGAAGCCACAAAGTGATGTTTTAATTAATACAAAAGTAAACTTAAGTAACTGAGAACAACTTCCTTCTAAAAGAAAGTGACTAAATGAAACATCTAACAATGAGCAAAATACAAGTTAACCTAACAGGTCTTATACAAAGAAACCACACAATGCTGCACATATCACACATGCAGCCAGAGGAGAAGGAGAGAGCGACTGCAGCCTTCCTCAGGTCCTTTATGGAGGCCCTGATTGGGGATTGGGAGCAGCTGGAGGGAGACAATCAGGGGGAGAGGGAGAGAGAGACACACACACACACACACACACACACACACACACACACACCAGCACCCACTACGGCACGTAACAGCAGTAAAATATTAAATATCAATGATATAGTGAAATAAAATTCTGGGAGACTTTTGCAGAAAGCCTTTTCACATACAGTAGCCATCACTTTTCAAAATAAAGTGTAATTGGACCAACACAAGGGTTTCTACTGTTTAAATAATTATTTTACTTCAACTCCCTAAATTCATATATCTAGGAATTTTACACATCTTTTATTTATTGAATAGAGTTTGTTCTTCTTGTTGAAAAAAGTAAATGATACAGAATCAGGCCTTTTTTAAAGTGCAAAGCTTCAGATATATAGTGCTTGTCGGATGCTCTTTCCATACATGTCTTAAATCTGCTCTTTGTCGCACTCAGCTGAACTCTCGTGATGACGAAGGTGTGCTCGTGGGGAACTGGAGCGGCGACTACACCTACGGCGTGGCGCCCACTTCCTGGACCGGCAGCACCGACATCCTGCTCACCTACGCCAGCGGCAAGGTGCCCGTCTGCTACGCTCAGTGCTGGGTCTACGCCGCCGTCTTCAACACCTGTGAGAAGTAGAAAATATTACAAAGATATACTAGTTATTTTATTGATAGCACCTTTGAATAGTGGTGGCCCTGTTTTTAATAATAGTTAAAAACCCACATTTTAGATGATATTTAACTGTTCCAGTGTTGTAGGTAGGGTTAGGGTTAGGGTTAGTCACAGTAATCAACCTGAAGATGGAAAATCAACATTATGATGGAAGTATTTGATGGCCGATTAAATGCACAATTTGGTCTTTTAAGTTGTTACAGCCATGTTTGGGTTAATATAGTTTGTTACACTGAATTGCACTGGCTTCTTTTAGTCCCACACAAGTTTACATTAACAGTAGATGACTGTAATTATATTTAAATGTTGGGCAAAACGTTTGTAACACAATTAAGTGTGTTAATTGTAAAGCCCAAATATAGAAAAACATTAGCACATTTTTCTTTTTTGACCAAACCCCTTCAGAAAATTCTTGACATCATTTGAGAAGGTCCTAAAAGGAAAGATAAAAAGTCATTAGAAAGTAGGAAAAGACAACCATGTCCAAAAATGAAACCTTGATACAAGTTGTTTTCAATTGACAGGAAAGGAAGCATATTACAAACGTTCTCACCTTTCAACTCTTGTCTTTGCTTCTGTTTTAATCTTAATTTCAGTTTTTTATTGTCCTTTTAATGTTTGTTTCCAGTCCTGCGCTGTCTGGGCATCCCATCGAGGGTCGTCACCAACTTCTACTCCGCTCACGACAACGATGGAAACCTGAAGATGGACATCATCCTGGACGAGAACGGCAGAATCGACCGCAATCGCACCAAAGACTCTATCTGGTATCATCCTCTATGTAACTCAGCTTTACACTGAGATTTAAAAACTAGTAGCTTCAACGAGTGATGAGATTACAATGACATTTGTTATGAATCTTCATGGTCCACAGAGGATGAATGCTAATAACTTGGGTGACTTCCTGACCTTTTTATTTTTTAAAGTTTCCACCTGAATATAAGAGTGTAATCAGCAGTTTGCTATGAAATCAATTAAGCACTTAAATGCTCCTCAGATGATGAACCCTTTTTCATTATGAACTCTTCACGACTCATATTGGGCCGTTTTCAGACCAAAGCCTCAAGATATTAAATGATGAAGTTAGCTGCAAACATTCAGGCTTCCTAAGAAGAACATTTTAGACTTTTCAAGACTTTTTCTATTGTAAAACGTCTTTTAGTCGCACACAAGTTTACATTAACAAAAGATGACTGTAATTATATTTAAATGTTGTTTTTATCAGGAACTATCACTGCTGGAACGAGTGCTTCATGTCCAGACCCGACCTCCCAGCTGGCTTTGGAGGCTGGCAGGTGGTGGATGCTACACCACAGGAGACCAGTGATGGTAAGTAATAATAATAACATGAATTAAAATCTTGCTTTATAAGAACAGGTCAATTGATAATCCTCTCTTATCTGTAAAGGCATGTACAGATGTGGCCCTGCCTCAGTCCAGGCCATCAAACATGGGCAGATATGCTTCCCATTTGATGCTGCCTTTGTGTTTGCTGAGGTGAGCCTTTAAAAGGTCTTTATTTCAGTGTCATTCTGTAAATAAAAGCATTTTATTTTTACTAAAATTGCGTGAATCCAACCCAGTGTTTTTTTTAAACATCTCTGTATTTTTTGCCGACAGGTCAACAGCGATGTGGTGTTTTATTCCCGGAATAAAGATGGCACCATGGAGCCTGTCAGAGTGAACCGGACCCACATAGGCCGCATGGTGGTGACCAAATCTCAAGGAGACATGACCCGCCGCGAAATCACCGATCAGTACAAGTTCCCTGAAGGTCAGAGACTTCATACGACACAAAGTGCAGGGTTTTAAAAGCCTCAGCTCCTGATTAGGAAACGTTTTTACAAACAAATGTTACATCTAAAATGATTTGAGTCTAAAATTAATCTTCCACGACAACTAAAACCCTGAAAGAGGCGCCAACATGAATCCTCATAATGAAAACTGAAGCACAGTGTGAGGCTTCATGTTAACCGTGATGTTATTCTCTCAAGCAGTCTCTGAGTCAGTGTTAAGCCCATTTGTTTTTCACACTGGGCAAAAATGACGGGTCCCAGGTTAATTTGGGATGATGGTGGCTGTGTGTTTGCACAGTGGGCCTTGTTACGGCACCAGAGGAACAGCCATGTACCCCTATGTGGCTGCCAGATTTGGGAAGGATTAAGCGTGTGGAAATCGGTTGTAGTTTGTGTCAAATTTTGCTTTTTGTTACTTTGGGACCAAAAGTTGTTTCCTCTCACGCAAAAGAACTCCCAATATCTCCAAAAATACTACGTTTGTGAAGAAAACCATATAGAAATGTACAAAAAATGTGTAACTTTGGGACCAAATGTAGCTTCCTTTCACGCAAAAAGAGTCCTGAAATCTCATTTAAAAAAAGCTACATTAGTGAGGAGAACCTTTTTGTAAGAACACACTTTCAATCCTCCTCTCCAGGCAGTACCGAGGAGCGGACCGTCCTGGAGAAGGCTGAGGAGTACGGCTGTAAACGCGATAAGTCCGAGCTTCCCGCGGCCGACGTGGACCTGATCCTGCCCACCCTGGAGGTCAGCGTGGGCGACGACTTCGAGATGAGCCTGGAGTTCGTGAACCGCAGCGACGAGCGCCGCACCGTGGACATCTACATCAGCGGCAGCGTGGTTTTCTACACCGGAGTCACCAGCTCCGAGTTCCTGTTCAGGAATCCCACCGTGACCATTGGCCCAAACAAAAGTGAGATAAGGGTTTCATTTATTTCTCACCAACAAAAAAAGACTCGCACTAAGAAGTACTTCCCTTTACTTATCGGATGGCAACAACTGCAATACAAAGAATATTTAAACAGCATAATTTTTTAGATTTGTTTGTTACCATTGATCATTTGCTTGAGTTTTGGAATATAAATATTAATAATAATAATAATCTTTATTTGTATAGCACCTTTCATACGACAACTGCAGTCCAAAGTGCTTCACATAGACATTTCACAGAAAATGTATCTCACACAGAATACAGATAACATTAAAAGACATAAAAACAACAACAAGAAATTGTTTGTAATCTAAATATTGTGTCTCTAATAGAAAAAGTTGTGAATGCAGAGATAGCAGTGTTGTGTTTGTTGTTCTCCAGGTGTGAAGGAGTCGGTGACAGTCGAGTCGAAGGCCTACATGAAGCATCTGGTGGAACAGGCAAACATCAACTTCATCGCCACTGGGAAGGTCCAGGAGACCGGGCAGATCATCACCGCCATGAAAGTCGTCACCCTGCACAACCCCAAACTCACCGTCACGGTCTGAAACTATGCTTACTTTCTTTCTGACTATACGTATAACTAAATAATCTTATTACTTGGCTTTAGCTTTTTGATACAAATCCTGAGTCCAGAAAGTCATTTTTACAAATTATTGTATACTCCAAGTGGCTAATAAATTCAACAAATTGACTTTAGGCCATAAGACTGTTAAACACCTGAACTAGAACATCCATAACATTCACCTGTTTACAACTTACAAATGATTTATCACTTGTATATAGACTCTTTTGCACTATTTTATCTGTTTTATTGTGTTGCACTGTTGGAAGAGCCTGTGACCTAAGATTTTCATCGACATTACTACACTGTAGCCATGCACGAATGAGAATAAAAGCCTTGAACCGTAACTTTCTTTTATGTCATGTTTTCTTATGTTGTGTCTCCAGGTGTCGGAGGGCGGCAGGGTGAGTGAGGAGATGACGGCGACCGTGGAGTTCACAAACCCCTTCTCCTTCAGCCTGGAGGGCGTCTACATCCGCATGGAGGGACCCGGGATCATGCTGCCCAAGTCCAAATATTACAGGTGAGTTCAGAACAGCAGAAACAAGTAACCATACAAACCTTGAGCCTTAAGATTGTTGACATTAAAGCACCGTATTATGCGACAGCTTTTATTCATCTGGTTATATTGGTGGATTTCTTTAGAAATGGGAATTTTATTCATATTATTCTTATTGTAAGAATTGTTTTGCTTACAGTTTTCCCTTGTTATTATTATTATTTATTTAGAATTATTATTATTTTTATTTTTTTTGTGCTTCATTTTGTTTCTTACCTGAGGGCGGGGTGGGGATGGGGGGTGGGATGTTGAAAATAGAAAACTGAAAGTGAGCATTATGTTTCTGTACCTTTCTCATTATTATTTTTTATTATTATATTTGTACTTTTAATGCTCAATAAAATATAAAAAAAAAGATCTCTGCTGAGAAAATTCTCCTCATAATCAGAGATATTTAAAAATGTCCATTTTGAAAGAAATCCACTGAATTTAAACACGATTACTCAGGAATGCTAAAAACACAGCTATAGATAGGATAAAATGTGTAAATTAATTGAAGCATAGAATATCTTGATTAAAACGAGTGTTTTTTCTGGGTTTGATATTAAATGCAGCCCTACCCTTCTGACATTTAACCCTAATCCTGCTGGTTTCAGTCTGATCCAGGGACATACTTCCCTCTCCTGGACGGAGTATTTCACCCCGCAGCGGGCCGGCAGCAGCAGACTGATCGCCTCTCTGGACTGTCCCGCCCTCAGGCAGGTCCTCGGCCAGGCGTCTATCAGCGTGAAGCCCTGAGGATCACCATAGGGTCACCGTAGTAGGGTCACTGAGGGTCACTGTAGGGCAGGGGTGTCCAAACTACATTTTGAATCGGCCCTCAGCCAATTCTAAAAGTATAATGACTTAAGTATAATAAACTTCTGCTTGTCTTATATTGTATTTCTCAAATATATAATGTTAAAATATATTACACAGTATTCATGCGTTAATAAGCCCAATTTTCAAATGAATTCAGTCAATTAAAGTTGAAAACATATGGAATACGGCCCACAAATGAAACTTGAGCTTGTATTGTATTGTACTTCTTAAATATATATGTAAACATATGTTACACAGTAGTGTTCATGTGTTAATAAGCCCACTTTCAGTCAATTCAAGTTTAAAACATGTTCTAACAAATAAGTTTATAAGAAAAAAGCCCAATAACAAATTCCCATAAGAACCTTGAAATCTACCCTTCATATTTCCTCTTATTATAATCAATCTGAAGCTTCTGTTTTAAGAAATGAGCTGCTAACACAATAAATGAAACCCTCTGGAGAGCTGTGATAGAGGCTGTATCAAGAATAATTTACCATCATTTGATTGATTTTGCCAACTTGTAACTGAACTTATGAGGCAATATACCTCTAGTGAGCGGCCCAGCTCTTCGTATATTTTTCTCTGTGGCCCTCGGGGAAAAAAGTTTGGAGCCCCCTGCTGTAGGGTCACTGCGACAGACATCATTCACTCACTCACACAATATAAGCCTAAGAGTAGTTGTGTATCTGTAGGTTTAACAGCTTATTCAGTGTAGCTTCAGCATTCATGATAACAATGGGGATAGTTGTAGGCGTAAGAAAAGCAAGCGCATATATCTTTTATCTAGAAAATACAGTTATTTTTAGAAGTGCAATTTGTTTTAAGAAAAATACCTATTTCTGACAATTAAAGGGCAACTCTTTTCAACTGACTTTTTTTTGTGGAGAAAGTACATTTTTGAAAGATCTATGATTGCTACTAAAGCTTCTATTTGCTCTCATCATTCAAAAAGTAAATTCATTTTAAAACGTTTTTCTAAAGCTTAGGCATAACTCCATTTTGGCCACCAGGTGGCACAATTACACCAAAACAAGCAGATAGTTATTAGGTTTAAATGACCAATTTGATGTTTGTTTAATTCGATACAACATAATAATTATTAAATCAGCTTTAACTCAATTTGAGACATACTCCCACTGTTATACCTGCATATCAATGTTTCTACTTGAGCACCATAAAGAGCTCTTTTAACCTTCTTCATATCGATTCATAAAATCTGTTTCCTTACATTTTATCTTGTTCAAGAACAAATAACCAAATAAAAGGTTAATAACTCCATCATTTTGTGACAACATATTACCTGGAAGTGTGTGTGTGTGTGTGTGTGTGTATATAAGAGCTGATAATTGGTTGTCATTGTGGATAATTATTATTTCTATGTCTTTCTAATGTCTAAAATTAAGACAACATACAGACAGCATTTCTGATTCTGAATTTTATTAATGCTTATATTGGCAGTACATCTAAAACAAATACAAAAAAGCAGATCCAGTTCATCTTGAAGTCGAATAACTAAAGTGCAACAGAATAACGTCCTCATACCAAGAGGGAGACTCCTTCATGTTCCCAGGCAGCTAAAGTTATGTTGCAGTGCAGAAAACGTTAGAAACTGGACTCGGGAATATTTCTAAGATCTAAGACCTAAACAATACATTTCCAGACTATCAAATCATAAATCTTCAAATCCAGTTAAATGCAATCTATACATTGCAATTGCTGAAAATAAAGAATGCTTTGACACTTTATACTATATATTGTAAGTGCTCGCCTCTTATTAACTTTTCCTTTCATGCGCAGCAAGCTCCATTCTGGTTTGAGACAGCAGTAGAAAAATATGGAAACTGAATTGTTTCATTTAAAATATTAAAATATGATTGGTTTACATAGTGATAGAATAAAGACCAGATTATGTTTAAAAATCAGGTATCTGACATAGTCCAAACTTTTAAGGCTTTGTACGAACATTGTGAACATTCACATGTGCAAATTAATATTGATTAATTTATATGACTACAAAAAAAACTCTTACACCATATAACTTTACGTGAACATACCCCAAATTATAACTTTCTTTAATTTCTTCTACCTGTATATTCCCACATGGGATGATAAATCATATCTCCTCACGTCCACTTGAAAGTGATGAGGTAGTCGGGGTACGCTTGGTTATCATGAAACACGACGTACATTTGGGGGTTGTCCATTCTGTCGACCACGCTGTCGTAGCGGTCGTGGTCCTCCTGGTCGCTGACGGGAGGAGGGACCCTCATGTTTCGTTGGCCCTGAGTGTAGATGCCGGTCAGGACGCGGGCCACGAACATGAGCTGGGAACCGTCAGCAGCTGGCTTGGAGTAGGTGGGTTGAGCAGAGTAGTTGGCATTTACAGCGAAGTATGTTCCTTCCCCGTAGTTAGTTGCTGAGAATAAAAGGAAGTAGGTGTAAACCCACATTAAAACATAGTAAGCATGAAGTCATTAAAAAGTTATTAAATTAAAAGATACACGTTTAAAATTGGTCAATGATATCATCCCTTTAAAAATATAATAAATAAAAGTAGTACGACAAATTACAAGGTAGGCTACTACTGTTCCTTAAGGGATCTCTGCTCACGGGGCACGCGCAGCGCACCGTAGCAGGAGAAAGGAGAGGAAAACGGAGCGAGAAGCAGATGAGTAATATTAAAAGTGATTCAAAGTTGATTTAAAAAAAGATAAAAATACCATCCACACGGTCGGGAAACCCAGTAGACGGTATCGAACATTAACCAACGGTGTTTTGGTGAGTCAAACCTTTTAATAGAAAAGTTTTGTAAGAGTGATTTAATGTTAGCTTCATTGTTAGCTTCATGTTGTTGAGCTGTAAGGGAAGCTATGAACATGGCTTGCAAGTTGCAATGTCATGTATTTGTTATTTTGTTTGGCTGAAACTACGTGGCTTTAATGTGTGTTTTACAAGGGGAAATATGTGTTATTTTTTTGTGAACAGGATAAATGAAACATGTCGAGGAGAGTAAAGCTGCTATTTTGAGCCTCATTGTAAGCTGTATTGACAAAAGAGCTACGTTTACAGTAGTTTTGAAAATGTAATTATATAATTTATATTGTTAGTTTATATTATATTTATATTCTTTCATGACCTGTAGTACAGGTCAGGTTTTTTGGACTGGATAATGAAGTTGATCGATGGAGTTGTGCTGCACTTGTGAGAGGACAACACACACGCGCTCTGATACAAGATGGCGAGCCAGACCCACGGGGTGTTTCTCAATGTCGAGTACGCTTGCTTAGTAGCACATGTCTTCCGAGTCACTTCCTTCAGAAGCTAGGCAAGAATCTTTCCTGGCATTCGGAAAACGAAGAGTGGAACAGGCTAGCAGGTGTGCGTCATATGAGAGGCCGGCCAGCCTTACATTTTCCGCCACAGATTTTGTGAAATTGGTCCGTGCGCAAAGCATTGTGGGTATTTTAAGACTGCGGAGTCTACACGTGTGCAGCCTCGAAATTTCTCGCTACGAAGTACGCTGGGCTCGGTAGAATTCCAAGTATGCTGGACATTGGAACAGTCCTTCGGCGGCACTCGATGACGTAGTATGCTTGAAATAGTGGCTCTGGAGCAGCATTCCTCAACATTAAGAAACACCCACGGACTGCTTTGATCTTCGCGCCAGTGAGAGGAGGACTTGCTGGTTTCTCAAGAGACAATAGTGGCGCATTTCCACTACACGGCCTCGCTCGGTATGGCTAGGCCTCGTTATGCCTTGTTAGGACTGGCTCACTTTATGCTGCGCTTCCATTACAGTTTAGGAACTGGGGTAGTATCTATAGTAAAGCAATATAGGCAGAGCCGTGACGTCATCTTCAATGAGCACCCCAGAAAAACAACATTAGCTGTTAGCACTCAAGCTCACAGCTCCTCATATCTGTTCAGAAACTAGACAAAAGTTAAACAAGTACAAACCACAGACTGTCTGTGTCATGGCGAATACAGTCGCTGGTTTATTTATGTCTGTATAGGCCGTTGTTGTGAGTGTGGACGGTCGGAGCATATATTGCGTTAGCTTAGCCGATCTCCATTTAGACAACGCGCATTTTAAAAGGTTTTTCGCCTGCCGTCTGTCTGCAGACTTGTCAAAGCATTAATTCATGGTTTTTACCGGTATCAGTATGTTGTTACTTCGGCATCATTTTGAAACGTGTATTACAATTTAAATCACGGTCAAATATGTTCATCTTGTTGTAGTTGTAGCCCCCTTGCCAGCGATTCTCTCTCTAGTTTAGCAAACTCAGCCCGACTCAGCCCTGTTTGTTGGCCCCGATAGAACCACGATTTTGTCGGGCCAGAAAAAAGGTGAAAAAGTAGCCCTGGGCCGGAACTAGGCATAGTGGAAACGCAACCGAAAACGGGCCCGGCACGAAACGGCACGCTTAAACCGCGCTCCGCGCCATGGTGGAAATGCGCCATAGGCGAACTCGCTGCCAGAGTGGTAGGAGTATTGGAGTTTCTTTTATTTGATCAGAACTGACTTAAGTTGTACCTGGATTGAAAGAGACACTATATATTGTACTCTAGGTTTTCATTTGTCATATGATTTCATTGATGGTACAATTGTGTTTTTTCATTGAATTAGATATATTTTACCTGTGAAAAGGGAAAAGAAAAAGAGTTAACTCAGGATATTGAAGAGATTAAAATAGGAACAACCTATAAATAATACTTAGTAGACCGGTCTAAACTAAAATAGGCTATTTTATTTTATTCATCCTGTATGGATACCATTTACTAAGTCACAGAAATCAGAAAACAAGGGAAAGGTGAAATACTTACCTCTGATTATACTGCAGAAAATATTCATTGTCTTTGTTTAATGTTTTGTCTATTTGTCTATTTCGTCAGTAAATTGCCGGCTGTTCTATTCAAACCACCTGGTCTCTGGTCTATTTACTTACTTGTCTATCCACTCTAGTGGAACCAATAATCTTTCTAGTCAGATAGCATAGCCCAAGATAAGAAGTGTTACAGAGGGAAGTTACAATAAATCTTTATAACCCTTTGAAAAAATGGCAGATATTTCAATTTGTATGGTGAGGAAAGTCTTCGAATGTCAGTCGCTGAATGACAGTAAGTATTTTTTCTATTTTTCCTACCTGAAAGTCCTTTTGGTGCCTAGAGTTCATACAATTAAATCTAGACTATTTCCTCAATTTTGGCTACAACCGTAATAACTAACAGCTGTAGTCCAAACTCAATAACAGCTCCTACGCTACATAGAGTAGGAAATTATGCTTTCTAAAAACAGATGCAAGAGCAGTGATTAGATCAGATTAAATACAAATATGTTTACCGTTCTGCCCAGAAAAGCGCCTGTTGAACCCAGTTTTTACGATGGATTGGCAGTTGTCCTGGGTCGTACCGTGGTACAGGAGCTTTTCACATTCTCCACCCTGCTGTTTGTACTTGTCAGAGATTTGCTTCTTCTGAGCTTCATAGGCGCGCCGCAGATGGACATTCTGCAGGCGCTCAATCTATCAAGAAAAATCAAATACAAAGACATAATAAGCTGTAAAATTTTGTTTGAAAGGATGTAAATATGTTTGCAAATGCACTGTGTGTACAATATACTATAGATAAATAAAATGTACAGGTTCAATTCATAGTTTTCTGGACGGTGCAATTTCCTACCTTCAGCACGGTCTTGCCGACTGTTCGTTTGAAGGCCTCCTTCACTGTGCGGTACTCTGCATAGGAAGGAAGGAGTTCAACCGTCTTCAAAGCTTCACCGGCAGCCATGTTGTCCCAGTACAGAGGGAGGGTGAAGTCTGAGAGATGTTTGAGGACAAATTGGAGAAAAGGTAAATTTTCTTTGCTTTCCCTTGATGTAGGCAAAAACCATACTTTAGTTTTTAATTGAGATATATTTACACAGTTTTACTAGCCTCTTTTTACTTTGTTTATGATATCATAGGCTTCTCATTGTTAATGTATTGACATTTTATTCTAATTAATTGAAAATGTCATGGTACAGGATATAAATCCCTAACTCTTCAACTTCACAATGAAAAATATATACAAAATCTTTTGACAGAACATTTTTGACCGGGGAATTTTTCCACTTTTCATTACTTTTGACCTGAACCAGAATGTATCAAGCAGGGATCTTTATGTAACAACTTAGAACCATCTTCTCACCTGGCAGATGCTCAAGTCGTTTTAGTTTTGTTGTTTGACCACCTAAACATCTCGTAGCCTCCATCCTCGGCAGATCCACGGTCCACTTGTTGCCCTGAGCGTCCACTATCCTTCCCCCTACATCGTTATTCTCCAGACTGTGATTGGCTGTTTTGAGCAGCCTCTCCCAGTTGCCTATATGTCCCAAGATGCACCAAGCCACACGGGCGTACAGATCCTCCTCCTCCCTGACTCTCAACTCTCTCCTGAGGTTGCCGTATAGAGAGGCGTTGATCATCTGCATTACCTTGTTGTTAACTTTCAAGGTGCCTTGGCTCAACTCAACATACAGACCTTCGGTTTCCACCAGCTGCTTCAGATCCTTCACGTCGTCCTGGGTGAGGTCTTTCAGTTCCTCCTTTCTGAAGGTTTGAGAAGAACACTGAGCCTGATACAGATCCTTCAGCTTTGTCATGGCACCGTCAACATCCTTTCTGGAGAGACCGAGGAACCTGAAGACGGACTGCTGGCTTGTAGAGCTGTTACAGACGATGCTTAGATCTGCCTCCACAGATGGAGGTTGTAATTGTTGTACATGAGGCAACTGAGGTACAGAAACTGCAAGGCAAGGTAGGTGAGACGATAACATTTAGTGACAATACCCGAAGAACAAAGAGGCAGATTTCTATGCTGGTAAATCACCTTTGTTGATCACAGCAGTGGAAAACATTTGCATTGCTTTTTCTTTAAAGGCCAGGAAGACGTTGATCTTTAGCAGGACGAGGCGGATGTCAGTGAGAGAGTTGAGACCAAAGGACGACGTGGCATCCTTGACCCCTCGGAGCATGGCTCCTGCCACAACACCAGGGTCCAACCCACCAGCTCCTGCACATTAATTTAATGAGTAAACCTGACACATTTATATCCTTATATCTAAAAAAGTGTTACAGAATACTCACCAGCACAGATAGCAGGTATGGCCACGGACTCGAACCCAAGAGATTCACAATGTTCAACGATGCGAATCACCAGTTGTTCGATGACGACTGCATCCTTTTGTCCACAGACATGGAAAAGGGCTTTACAGGAGAACTTTCCCGATTTGGACACAAAAACGTCTCCGCGAATGCTTTTTGCTACAAACAACAATGAACAGGAAAGCTGAGTAAAGAAGTTGTAGGTGTGTGTTGCTTAAAAATGTCTAGCAGGTCCTTTTTTTATTTACCTGCTTTAAGTTCTGCCTCTACATCCGCTCCAGCTACAGTTAAGATGTCTTTGCACACATCTGTAGGATAACCATACATTTTAAAATCAGTGAAGGGATGTAACTTTTCTGCCTTTTTTAAAGCATCCTTAGTTCTCACTCACCGTACTGGAAATCAACAAAGTCGGTCGTGTTCACCACAGCATCCGTCGTCTCATCAGTGATGTTACCAAACACCAGTTGTAGTTTAACCCCGCTGCCCACTGTCATCGTGATGTCATCAAGGTCACTGGTGAGGGACCTAAAGATTGCTAAAACAAACAACGCCCAATATATATTTAATGTGTGTCTGATTTTTAATCTTGGCCATTGAGAATGTGGATGGAAATGGTGAACAATGTACTTGCTAAATACTTAGTTAAACAGATTACCTTCTCCTCCCTGGTTCACATTTAAGCCAGGGTGCCTGTAGACGTCTTGGTAGCACTGTAAATAAAAACAGCAGCATGAAACACTTTATTTCAGAAATCATGCATCTTAAAAACAAATGATCATAGTCACCTCCTCAGAGTCAGGGTAGCCTGGTTTAATGACGATCTGGATGGTGGTGAGAGACCCAGAGGACGCAGATAAACCAAGCTGGCAAATGTTCTCCATAAGCACTTGAATGGCCTCTTTCATTGGGTATTTTAAAACATCTGAGGGTCCAATGACTGGAAAGGCAACTGAGCTATAGCCCCGCTGTACGCAAAGGTCCAAGCATCTCTTCAGGCCATTACCAAGCGCCTGCAAAACAAAAATCAGAAACTTTGTTTGTGTCAAAAGTTACCCCTGCATTGCACAACACTTTCTGTGCTTGTATATTTAAATGGTCGGTTCTAAATAGCAACATTTATGAAGTACAGGTTTTATTTTCCATTAATTAGCCAGATTCTTTGCTCTAATTCATGGCATTTGAATGCAACACGTGAGTTTGAACTCAGCCTTTGCCCGCACCTACAACAATATTAAATCCACCAAGTATTTAACTTTACCTTCACACTCTGCCCTCTGACTCCATCCCATGGCAAGCACTCGATGAAGAAGAGCTTGGAGCAGCCCAGAGATGGAGGCGCGTCCACCTGCAGGACATCACCAGGGGCAACGGTACCATTCGCTGCGACCGTGTCAAACTTGGACTTGATTGCATTCCCGGCTTTTTGAAACAGACTGTTACCTATCTTAGTAGAAGTGAGGTTCTTGTTGATCATGGGGACCACCAACACATTCACCTGTGGAAACAATGTGGATTAATATCAATGTGAGTGGTTGTATTGCTGCTTTCATTATTCTAATTAAAGTTAAGCGGAAATGTTCAAACCTGAGCATCTATCAGACTGCCAAGCTTGATCTCCAGGCTCGTCTTTATGGCCACATTGATTCCAACAGTATTGCAGCGCAATTTGGGGAGGGGTTGGGGTGCCAAGCCGCTGGTTACAGGGCTGCTGATGCTTCGTGGTTTACTTTGCACATTTGTCGAATGCACACCTTGCTGTTCCTTAATGATAACCTGAAATGAGCTCTCTACCAACTCCTTGCCCACTTTACCTTCTGCTTGGAAGTACTGCAGAGCCCCCGGTCCGTCCAGAACCAAAGTGTCGGAGGTCAGACTAGCTAGAGCTGAGATTAGATCCCTGCTTGACCTCTTTGACCAGACGACAGGGACCAGACACAAGCACACAAGGGCATGGGAAAGGTGAGGCTTTCAAAGTCACTTTGTTCTGCTTCATACCAATCATTCCTAAAATCAAATCAAAATCAAAACAGTCAAGCAGGTCAGGATTCGGTAGGTTTAGAACTTCTTGTGTCCAGATTTGGTTGATCTGGAAGTCATGCATAACCTCTTTGAGCTTATTGACATTTTCTCTGTAGCCCACCAGTCGTACTTTGATGTTTGGGGTTCCACCGGTTCCTGGGATGAAGCTGACGTCCACTCTGAACTCTCTAGAGTTAGCTTCGTTCTTGGCTTTGAAGAGGATTTCCTTTAATCCATCTAGATCTGGAGGTGCAGCTAGAGCCCCCTGCAGCTTGACATTGGCCAAATCAAAGTCTCTCTGCAGCGTGGCTTCGGCCTCATCGAGGGCATCGGAGGACAAACTGGACATGACCAGCTCAGACCCAACCTCCAGGGAAACAGGATTTCTGAGTCTCTGCTGGAAGCGGGTCTGGTACTTGGATACGGCACCGCTGGATCCTATAAAGGTCATCAGGGCTGTGGATAGTTTAACTCGCTTTTCCTTTACTTTTTCCTTCAGGTCCTCAAGTGTGTTGGCTCCTGACTTTACCTCTTTGTCAGGCCCCTCTAAGGTCACCATGGCTCGGCCTATGTTGATCTTAACTTCTGGGTATTTTGCAAACATTTCTCGACTAAACTCTTCTTCTACCAGCTTGAACAGCTTCTCCACAATTGGTAACTCCTTCCGGGTTGTCAGGCTCTTTTCGAGGATTGCTATTTTCTCATGCACAGCCTCAGTTTCTCCCACAACCACTGGATAACCGCCCTCTCTGTACACTTTAATATCATCTGTCACAAAGGAGAGGTCCTGCAGTAGGATTTTGGCTTTTTTCAGCTCAACCACATGATAGCAGAGGTAGCTCTCAGTGAAATTGATCAAGACTCGATCGACCTGTAACTCCCACTGCCAGGGCTCTCGACTAACTTTTTTCACCATCCTCCCGGAACCGTCCCGAAATACAATCTAAGCCGTCCCGAAATTAATGTGGACCGTCCCGAATTTAAAATATTTGTTTTTCTACATTATCATTAGTTAAAATCATTCAAAGTGACCTTTAACATAAATAAAACATCATACAAATCATTAGATGATAATTCATCAACCTTTTTATTTGAGTCAATCAGTCAAACACATAAACAAAGGCCAAATATATTTAAAAAAAACACACAAGCGAGAAAGTTGCTCTAATATTGAATCCAATCAAGTCCCATCCGATTAACAACAAAATCCAACACTGTCCTGAAGACAGAACCCAGAGTAACCACTAACCAGGATGACAGTCTGTAACACAGTCAGGAGACCTTTACAAACTGCCCCGCCCCCTCGCACACAGGAGAGCTCTCTCGTCTGGATTGGAAAGATCGAAAATAAGATCGAAAATACATCATAGACGCATTTTGTAGTCTTATTGCATATTAGAAACGGAGTTGGCGAAACTAAAACTGCAACATAATGTTCATGTAGCAATAATACATATGACATATATGTTTTAAATGTCTCTACCACTGTCTTTAATAATTCCGGCCCGGGGCCCGTTTAATACCGGGGCTCGGTACCCATCCCTACATGGGGAGAGGCGCAGCATATTGCTAAGGACTACATGCGATGGAGAGTTCTCATCTCAGCTGCAATGACATGTCTGGAAACCCCCTCTCGGGTGCCCCATGCATAGCGCGCCGTCAAAAGCTGCTTCATAAGTTAAGTTTCGTTTCTCCGCACCGCTCCGGGGTAAAAAAATTGTAGTTACATCACAGCTGTACGGCTGGCTGACAGCTGTAGCTATACGTACTGTGTGTGTGTGTATTTCGCGGGTTGCTAAATGCTTTGTGTGTGTTTATGTTGACAAGGAGGTTTAATAACTGTGTGCTACACAAAACGTGCAGTCAGTTTCATTTTCATCGCCGTTCGTAGTAGAGTTAGCAGGGTATTTTTATTTTAACTCTCGTCCCAAATTCGTCCCAAAATTAATTTGTATCCTCCCCGACCCGATTTATTTCGGCCCCGGGACGACGGGAGGTCCTTAAGCTCGAGCCCTGCCACTGCTCTGCACCCCCAAAAGCTCCTCCAGGCCCCTTTTCAATATCCCCCCTTACCACTGCCTCCTCCTCCTCAAAATCTAACTCTACTTGGCAGCCGATACATGAGAGTTGTTTCTGTAATAATTTGTATGCTTTAGGATTGTCTCTCAGGAAAAACATGAGGAAAATATCTAGTTTGAATATCTTCTCATGGCCTTTTGTGTTGACTTCAGTGGGTGTCTGAAGCAAAAAAGAACATTAAACAAATTAATTAACTCATAGTAATGTATCTGTAAAACATGTGTTTTTACTTGAAGGTGCTTTCACAACAGCTGTACATAACATATTCATTGATATAATTGGACTTAGAAGAAATGCCCCTCAAACAGGTTTGGCAAGCTCATTTGACTGACGTATATTTTTCCAAAAAGGGTGGAGCAAATGTTTGCATACCTTCGGTTGACTTGTAGATGGCTGATCCGGGGTCTCTGGGCAATAACTTTGACTCACATTTAGACATAAATCGCCAGAAGGAAGGGAGATATTATGAATCTTCCTCTGCAACACCCTTTCCAGGTCTGTAGAAACACAAATACCAAGGTCTCAACAACATCTTACATTTAAACTACAACTACAAAGTTTATACGACACATTACTAGTCGAACTAAATAGGATTACTCACCTTCTATTTCCATGAAACAGATTTTATACGTGTTTCCTCCAGCCTTTTCGATCATCCCACAATCACCTCCACCAGAATCCCGTCTTTTCTGAAAGTGGCTTCTGACTTTGTGCTTCTCTTTGTCTGTCAAATATTTCGCTTCAAAGAACAGTGGATGTTTGAATTCATCCATTTTACCTGTAATTCTGAACTTCAAAAGTTGTAAAAAGTGTGGTGCTTCTTCGAAAGTGTCCGTCTAGAGCAAAAAGTCTGAAGCTTCAATTTAGTTTCACTCTGCCACTCTATTGTTTTATGTTAAATTCCTTATACTGTAGACACACCTATTGACATATGGATTGCTGGCAGAACCTTTAAAGTGGGATTCCTGTGGTTAATCTTGTTCTGCATGAACCCAGATACCTGTTACCGTAATGCAGTCATGATGATAACATTTATGAGGATGTTTTATATGATGTTGATAAGACTAACATTTGGGCGAGGTTTTTTTTAGAGCTTGTCTGAAGAAAAGGGTTACCTGCTGAAAATTACTATTTAGTTTGTGAGATCATAAAGACTGAAGTTAAAAAGTAATTGAGCCATTAAAACATTGAACTGAAAGGGCTTAATGATCTTATAATTAAAAAACTTCTAGAAGGTCACTGAGGATCACTGAGGGCACTGTAGGGCAGGTGTCCAAACTACATTTTGAATCGGCCCTCAGCAAATTCTAAAAGTATAATGACTTCAGTATAATAAACTTCTGCTTGTCTTATATTTGTACTTCTCAAATATATAATGTTAAAATATATTACACAGTATTCATGTGTTAATAAGCCCAATTTTCAAATAAATTCAGTCAATTAAAGTTGAAAACATATGGAATGCGGCCCACAAATGAAACTTGAGCTTGTCTTGTATTATACTTCTTAAATATGTCTGTAAACATATATTACACAGTAGTGTTCATGTAAGCCCACTTTCAGTCAATTCAAGTTTAAAACATATTCTAACAAATATGTTTATAAGAAAAAAGCCCAATAACAAATTCCCATAAGAACCTTGAAATCTACCCTTCATATTTCCTCTTATAATCAATTTGAAGCTTCTGTTTTAAGGAATGAGCTGCTAACACAATAAAGGAAACCCTCTGGAGAGCTGTGATAGAGGCTGTTTTTTCTTACAGCATTTTTCAAGTATTAAGAATAATTTACCATCATTTGATTGAGTTTGCTAACTTACAACTGAACTTATGAGGCAATATACCTCTAGTGAGTGGCCCAGCTCTTCGTATATTTTTATGTATGTGGCCCTCGGGGAAAAACGTTTGGACCCCCCCTGCTGTAGGGTCACTGCGACAGACATAATTCACTCACTCACACAATATAAGCCTAAAAGTAGTTGTGTATCTGTAGGTTTAACAGCTTATTCAGTGTGGCTTCAGCATTCATGATAACAATGGGGATAGTTGTAGGCGTAAGAAAAGCAAGCGCATATATCTTTTATCTGGAAAATACAGTTATTTTTAGAATTGCAATTTGTTTAAAGAAAAATACCTATCAACACATTATGACGATTAAAGGTCAACATTTTTGTGATCTGAATTTTTTTGTGGAGAAAGTACATTTTTGAAAATCTGATTGCTACTAAAGCTTCTATTTGTTCTCATCATTCAAAAAGTAAATTCATTTTAAAACGTTTTTTTAAAGCTTAAGCATAACTCAATTTTGGCCACCAGGGGGCACAATTACACCAAAACAAGCAGATATTTATTTGGTTTAAATGACCAATTTGATGTTTGTTTCATTCGATACAACATAATAATTATTAAATCAGCTTTAACTCAATTTTCGAGACATACTCCCACTGTTAAACCTGCATATCAATGTTTCTACTTGAGCACCATAAAGAGCTCTTTTAACCTGCTTCATATCGATTCATAAAATCTGTTTCCTTACATTTTAGTTTGTTCAACAACAAATGCAAATAACCAAATAAAAGGTTAATAACTGCATTATTTTTTGACAACATATTACCTGGAAGTGTGTGTGTGTGTGTGTGTATAAGAGCTGAGAATTGGTTGTTATTGTGGATAATTATTATTTCTTGAACAACAAAGTCTGAAAGTAACACAACATACAGACGGCATCAATGATTCTGAATTTTATTATTGCTTATATTGGTGGTTAATCTAAAACAAATTCAAAACCAGATACAGTACATGTTGTAATCAAGTAACTAAAGTGCAACAGAATAATGTCCTCATACCAAGACGAATAATCCTTCATGTTCCCAGGCAGCTAAAGTTATGTTGCAGTGCAGAAAACGTTAGAAACTGGACTGGGGAATATTTCTAAGATCCAAGACTTAAAAAATATATATCGAATAATAACTCTTCAAATCCAGTCAAATGCAATCAATACAATGCAATTTCTGAAAATAAAGAAAAACATATTTTCCTTTGTTTGGGATGAACTAATTAAAATAGCGTCCACCCAGTAAAAAAATCCCCACTACACCACTGATTGTAAGTGCTCGTATTAACTTTTCCTTTAATGCTGACCAACTCCTTTCTGGTTTTAAACAGTAGTAGAAAAATATGGAAACTGAATTGGACAATTCTCCCTCAATAATATAATACTTTCACCGTGCTTTATGTGAACCTCATCATGACACAAGAGAGGACGGCAGCACTGTAATTTCCCGTGTTCAGTGAATGCAACAGGCATGACACCAGACCAATCAGAGAGTTGCATGGAAATAAACGTGTGCTTGTGTCATTCAAGCACGGCTCTGTGTGTGTGTGGCAATAGCGCATTTGTGATATAGAGAGAGAGAGAGGGAGAGAGGGGGAGGGAGGGACCGGTGCCAGCAGGGACGTGTTGTTAGCATCTGGTTAGCTAGCTGCACTAACGGACATAAGGAGCTGTTTGTTCCACAACAAGCTGGAGGAGAGTCCTCTCCTCTCAGACTGAGAGACTCAGGTGAGCTAAAGGACTCTCTGAGTGTTTAGATACTTAACTTTAGTCTAAGTTATCTCAGTGGGTCTCAAACGGTTTGGTCACAAATTATTCAAAAGATTATTTCCGCGGCACACCTTCATATGATCATTATAGTTATAAAGAAAATAAGAGAATAAAGGAAAAACAGTTATGAAATACTATATGGCAGTAAAACAAGAATAGAGTTTAAAAGGGGAGTGATTAGTAAAATATCCATAAAGAAAAAGTAAATCTGTTTACAGTTCTGCTTGGTGTTGAGAGAGGTATCCATAGATCTCTTCATTTTGCTCTCAAAGTGTACCAGATTGATGCTTTTAACTTCAATATTTAAAAAAAAATCTTCCAGGGGGAGCATCCCCCCGGACCCCCCTAGATGAGGTGAAAAATACCACTTTACCCCTGCCTATATGCCGTGAGCTGATTATCGAGCCTTCATTGTAACAGTCGCGGGTGTACTGTGTGTGTGCGTGTGGGGAGTGTTGCAGTAAAAAATGCCACTGTAGTGCCGCCGCCACTGTGGGCTAAGCCCCGAATGTTTTCAGGTCCAGGCGACGCCCCTGGGCAACACTAACCAGGCTTCGTGTGATTCTGTTTATTTGTACCTTACTTTGACCATCCGTTCGATGTCATTGATCATTGTGGAGAGCAGGCAGACGTTTTGTTTGTTATTATAGCAGCTATCGGATGGAATCAATACATGGGCTGCACAGGTTGTCATGTCCGACTATCACAAGTAGAATCATGATGAAAAATACGCCGGTAAAAAGTGCCTGTAGAAAACGGCTTAGCAAGTAGTCAGTTTAGCTTCGGTTGCTATGCTAACATCACCCATGTTATACCAGAGAAACTTTCATAACAGCGTTGTGATGCCAAACAGCGTCAATTCAGACTGACACCAAACAGCGTCAATTCAGACTGACACACATTCACTTAAGGGGAACTGGGGATATGTATCAGCTGCTTGTGTGACAGTCAGACAGTGAATACTTTAGAGCCGTGTGAGCTAACCCGGAGCTAACGGGAGAATACACTCCCGTTGAAGAGCAGCCAGCACTGCAGCGGTCGGTAAATGCCGCTGAAACACATTAATAAACAATGAACCACGGCACTCTGGAGAAAAGTATAAGGTTGGAGAAGTCGTTATTTAATTTAATCTGGCTTCGTATGATTAAAAGCAACACGATCATCGACCCGACGCAGTCCCCGGCCCGTTGTTGTTGTGGGGTGAGCTCCGTTGGGGAGAAACTCAGCGACGTAAACTGTGACGTCATGACGCAGCAGCGGCAGCACCAGTCGGGCTCTGAGCGGTGTGAAAAGAGCCGGCGCTAAACCGAAGAACCGGTTCTGAACCAGAAAAGCTCTAGCACGGAGCTAGAAGGGGAAAAGCCTTGGTGTGAAAGGGGTAATATACCCCTAGAGCTAGAAGGGGAAAAGCCTTGGTGTGAAAGGGGTATATTACCCCTTTCACACCAAGGCTTTTCCCCTTCTAGCTCCGTGCTAGAGCTTTTCTGGTTCAGAACCGGAGTTGCTCATTCGCGCATGATGATAAAATGGCCCAACTTTTGAGAGAGCGAAACGTCACAGATTACCCGGCATGCCTGAGAAGTACCCGTATGTGCGCTCATAGCGCATGCGCAACTTTAACCAAAATGCTCGTTCACATCAAGCATGTCAATTTGCGTACACGTAACAGCACCGCACGTTCATGACAGCATGGTAATGGGTTGTTATTATGATAGATTTGATATTAACGAGGCGGCAGTTAGCAGCTAGCGGTTAGCTAGTAATTATGCTAATTTACACATCAATCGTTATGTACTTTTATATTACGCTGTAACAGGATCTAGTGATATCCAAGCAACAGAGCTTCATTTAGCATGAAAGAATTATTGCACTGTATATATATATATATATATATATATATATATATATATATATATATGTATGTATATATATATATATGTATGTATATATATATATATATATACAGTGCAATAAGCTTCTTAGTGCAATAAGAAGCTACTGTACAGGGACGTTAATCTACGTCGGTAATATTAACTTTATTTAATACAACATTTACGGTACAAGATTTAATCATACAGCCCATGTAGTATAATATTTTACAAATGATGAATTACAGCAAACATGTGCAATATATCCATTATTACAGCTCCGTGGGCTGGCAGTAAGGCGATATGGGTCCGTTCTTATTGTGCATCCATGGGTAAAGATAAACGCATGTAGTGCTGAACACGTAACATGAACGTGCCGGGCGGCGCGGTCCCGTGGGTTAGATGCGCGTTCATAATGCAGAGGGAAATAACTTGCAGAATAACGTTATTAGCACATTTTTACAACTTGAGGAACGAATGTTTTTAATAAGGGCTATACAAGTGTTCATACTGGGTAGTTTATTTAGCTTAAAAAAAATTATCCAACGATTTACAGACCACTCTTTCCCCATGTAAGTCAATGGGAAAAAGTGTTTCCGGGCCTGGCAACCAAAAGGAAGTGTAGTACCGCCGTTTGGCCAGCACGAATATTTTCATCTGAGTCCGGCGCACTTCCTGGGGGCTTGATACGGACCCGGACCTATAATCAATACATTAATAGGGGAATTCAATTTTGACGGGGCGATTCTATTTTAACCGCCACCAACAGGGGGCGAAAGAGACAAGTGAGCGATACAGGGAGAGAAACACAGAAGAAGAGACGAGAGAGCGGCAGAGAGAAGCGGAGAGGAAAGTGAGCGAAGAGAATAATTAGCGATACAGGGAGAGAAGCGGAGAGGAGAGTGAACAGGCGTGTTAGCGGCAGAGAGGGAGAGACACATAATTACACATGGCGCTCTCCAAGAAGAGTAAAGTAGACTGTGAGAACAGAGCTTTTAACCCTGAGTGGACGGACTCATTCATGTTCATCCTGCCCACTGGGAGCACAGAACCAGTGTGTCTCATTTGTTCAGAGACCGTAGCGCTCATTAAAAGTGCCAAAACGCCACTATGAGACAAAACACAAAGTGTTTGACCAAACATTCCCTCTCAAGTCAGAACTGAGGTCACACCAGGATCAAAATTAAAACTAAATATCGTTCCAGGTCAGGCTAACCGAGGCTAACCAATGAGCACCTGCATGTGTGTATGAGAATGGCCCTGACACCATTTCTGCCCAGATTTAAACTCCTGGCAGGACAAGCTCGAGCTCAATTCTCGCACTGAATTAAAGAAAAGTGAGTGATGGACTGCAATATAAGAGGGAAAGAAAGAGAAACTTTAAAACTGTTCAATTGTTATGATGTGTAAAGACTGATATTGTTCTATAATCGGCTGAAACTGTTAAGTCATGATGTGAAACGGTTAACAAAGAAAAAGGGAAACTCAAGCTGCTGCTACACTTTATTTTATTTATCTAAAATTAAGCACTTTTAAGATGCACATATTTTCAAAAGCTATTTTATTTATTTTCTCCTATTTTATTTTTAAATGCAGCCCGAGAGGAACATTACACATATATATCCACAGTATTTTACTGTATATCTGTATAGTTCAATGTTAATTGACAATAAATATTGTTGTTTATGAATTGTACTTTCTTTATTTGATTGGCAGTCTTTTGTTGATTACATGCAGACGTTGATAAAGCTACAGGCTACTTCAATATATATCACACTAATTCATAGAGCAAGTTAGACATTTTGATGTTCCGGACCTTTGCATGGGGAGATTTTCTCTAACTGGACCTCGTTGAATTTTAGTTGAATACCCCTGGTGTAGAATAAAGACCAGATAATATTTAAAAATCAGGTATCTGACATAGTCCAAACTTTTAAGACTTTGTACGAACATTGTGAACATCCACGTGTATATTTGTGTGCAAATTCATATTGATTAATTTATGACTAAAAAAAAAACTCTTACACCATATAACTTTACGTGAACATACCCCAAATTATAACTTTCTTTAATTTCTTCTCCCTGTATATTCCCACACGGGATGATAAATCATATCTCCTCACGTTCACTTGAAAGTGATGAGGTAGTCGGGGTACGCTTGGTTATCATGAAACACAACGTACATTTGGGGGTTGTCCATTCTGTCGACTACGCTGTCGTAGCGGTCGTGGCCCTCCTGGTCGCTGACAGGAGGAGGGACCCTCATGTTTCGTCGGCCCTGAGTGTAGATGCCGGTCAGGACTCGGGCCACGAACATGAGCTGGGAACCGTCAGCAGCTGGCTTGGAGTAGGTGGGTTAAGCAGAGTAGTTGACATTTACAGCGAAGTATGTTCCTTTCCCGTAGGAAGTTGCTGAGAATAGAGGAAAAGTCAAAGTCAACTTTAATGTCAATTTTTCTGTGTGTTTGTACAGATAGAGAGATCGAAATAACGTTTCCAACAATCCCGAATACAAAATACAATAATACAAATATGTATATCCTATACTGTATATATACAATCAACAGACACATTTATACATATGCACACATTAAGATAAAACACAACAATCAATATATACAAAGTAACAGTCACTTCAATATCTTAGAGAATGTACATGGTGCAGGATTGTCCATAGCAGCGTAAAAAAGTGTCTGGTGGGAATTTACAATAAATCTTTATAACCCTTTGAAAAAATGGCAGATATTTAAATAGTGAGGAAAGTCTTCGAATGTCAGTCGCTGAATGTCAGTAAGTATTTTTTTTAATTTTCCTATCTGAAAGTCCTTTTGGTGCCTAGAGTTCATAAAATGTAATCTAGACTATGTCCTTCATTTTGGTTTTGGCTACAACCGTAATAACTAACAGCTATAGTCCAAACTCAATAACAGCTCCTACGCTACATCGAGTAGGAAATAATGCTTTCTAAAAACAGATGCAAGAGCGGTGATTAGATCAGAATATATAAATATGTTTACCGTTCTGCCCAGAAAAGCGCCTGTTGAACCCAGTTTTTACGATGGATTGGCAGTTGTCCTGGGTCGTCCCGTGGTACAGGAGCTTTTCACATTCTCCACCCTGCTGTTTGTACTTGTCAGAGATTTGCTTCTTCTGAGCTTCATAGGCGCACCGCAGATGGACATTCTGCAGGCGCTCAATCTATCAAGAAAAATCAAATACAAAGACATAATAAGCTGTACAATTTAGTTTGAAAGGATGTAAATATGTTTGCAAATGCACTGTGTACAATATACTATAGAGAAATAAAATGTACAGGTTAAATTCATAGTTTTCTGGACGGTGCAATTGCCTACCTTCAGCACGGTCTTGCCGACTGTTCGTTTGAAGGCCTCCTTCACTGTTTTACTCCTCTTTTTTGTTTTTTTGCAGTGTATATATTTAGCACATTTTAAAATTATTATATGCTTACCTTTAACCTTTGTGTGCTGTTTGGGTCTGTGGGACCCGTTTTCAGTGTTTACTAAAATAACATGTATTCAATTTAATTATTTTAACCTGCTTTATTTGGGGGTGGACCTCACCTCCTCTAGGGGGGTTATAGCTGTTAGCACACACTCAGAGCTCACAGCTCCTCATATCTGTTCAGAAACTGGACAAAAGTTAAACATGTACAAACCACAGACTGCCTATGTCATGGCGAATACAGTCGCTGCTTTATTTATGTCTGTATGACGTTGTTGTGAGTGTGGACGGAGCAGCTACAGGTTAGTTTAGCCTGATGGATCCGATTCCATTCAGAAAACACGCATTTTAAAGGTTTTTCGCCTGCCGTCTTGTCTGCAGACTTGTCAAAGCATTAATTCATGGTTTTTACTAACCGGTATCAGTATGTAGTTACTTCGGCATCACTTTGAAACGTGTATTACAATTAAATCACGGTCAATATGTTCATTTTGTTGTAGTTGGTATCTCCCATAGGATTTACATGGAGATACGCCCCGCCCCCTCTCCAGCGCGTCTTGTTTGAATGACAGGAGCAAACACAGCTGACAGCCGCGGTAAAACTCGAGCGATTAGAGCGATGCGAATATTGGGTAGTCTACCATAGTATTTACATGGATGATAAGCCCCTTAATAACCATGAATTAATAAAGCATTAATTCATGGTTTTTTCGCATTGCTCTAATCGCTCGAGTTTCACCGCAGCTGTCAGTGTTTACTCCTGTCATTCAAACAAGACGTGCTGGAGAGGGGGCGGATCGATCAGGCTAAACTAACCTGTAGCTGCTCCGTCCACACCATGGATGTATAATAATAACTGGATACAGCGTGGGAGGCGGGGCCTCATTCATTCCTATGAGAGTTGCTCATTCGCGCATGATGATAAAATGGCCCAACTTTTGAGAGAGCGAAACGTCACAGATTACCCGGCATGCCTGAGAAGTACCCGTATGTGCGCTCATAACGCATGCGCAACTTTAACCATGCCCCCCAAAATGCTCGTTCACATCAAGCACGTCAATTTGCGTACACGTAACAGCACCGCACGTTCATGACAGCATGGTAATGTTTGTTATGATAGATTTGATATTAACGAGGCGGCAGTTAGCAGCTAGCGGTTAACTAGTAATTATGCTAATTTACACATCAATCGTTATGTACTTTTATATTACGCTGTAACAGGATCTAGTGATATCCAAGCAACAGAGCTTCATTTAGCATGAAAGAATTATTGCACTGTATATATATATATATATATATATATTGTAGCGTCTCGCTACAGGAACACAGGGAGGCTTGGTTTGTCCTTTATCCGGGAGTTTATTATACAGATCACAGGTTACTGTTGGCCATAACCACGCCAAACAATCCACTAACTCTGTCGTATATCCTCACTCTCCGTCACATATATTCCCCTAGCTCCTCTCTCGCTTCCCGCGTCTCCCCCTCCAGGAGCCTCCCTCTTCCAGCCCCAACCAACCAGACAACACTCTCCCACCCAAACCCACAGCTACAGGTCACAAGAACCGTCCATCAAAACAGTGGCACGTTCACTGACACTCTGTAAAATGCAAACAAACTCTGAACAACAAACACATCAAACATCAACATTATAACCAGTCCGTTACACTTTCCCCCCTCCTCAAAGTCCCTCGTCCTCGAGGGAATAAACAAAGTCTCTCAGGTGGTTAGGGGGTCTGCGATTTCTCTGCGGCCGTGCCTGGTCTGCGGCAGGGGGAAACAGGCCCACCGTGGGGCTCAGAGTAGGGCAAGGGAAAAAAAGTCCAGGTTGTGGGGAACCAGGCAAGGTCGCTGGGTGATGGGAGGGGGTTTGGGAAGAAGAAAGAATAGTGTCCCTAGCCCGCTGTGTCTCACCAACTGATCCTAGTGGTGTCGCTGTACCCCGATAGGGTGCCAACCTGTCCCGGTGAAGAGCAACTATTCTCCCTCTCCTCTGCAGTTGGACCCTGTAGACGACCTCACTCAGTCTCTCCAGAACCCTGCAGGGCCCTTCCCAGTTGCTGTCCAGCTTTGGGCATCTTCCCTTCTTCCTCTGTGGGTTATACACCCAGACCAACTCGCTAGCACTGAAATGCCGTCCTCTAGCATGCACATCGTAGTTCCTCTTCTGCCTCGCCCCTGCACTCTGTAGCTGGCGCCTGGCAAAGTCGTGAGCAGACTGTAACCGTTCCTGGAGTTTCCTGGCATATTCGAACCCTGGGGGGTCCACAGGAGCGTCGGGGGGTAAGCCCATCATCATCTCGCCTGGCGTGCGCATCTCCCTTCCTAACATGAGGAGGGCAGGGGAGCAGGAAGTGGAATCTTGGGCCGCAGACCGGTACGCCATCAGCACGAGGGGGACATGGGCGTCCCAGTCTCTTTGGTGTTTCGCCGTCACTATGGCAAGCTGTTGAGCCAGTGTGCGGTTGAACCTTTCTACGAGGCCGTCGCTCTGTGGGTGAAGGGGTGTGGTGCGGGTCTTATGGGACCCCAGTTTTTCGCACATAGCCTTAAACACTCGGGACTCAAAGTTCCGGCCCTGGTCTGTGTGTATGACTTCAGGCGCCCCGAATCTGCTAAACATTCCCTCCACCAAAGCATCCACAATAGTCTCTGCCTCTTGATTTGGTAGGCTGTATGCCTCAGGCCACTTAGTGAAGTAGTCCATGGCTGTGAGGATGTAGCGGTTCCCTTTTTCTGTGCGGGGAAACGGCCCAAGAACGTCGATCCCGATCCTCTCCATTGTGCACCCTACCGGAAATTGCTGGAGCTGGGCATGAGATCTGTCGGTAGGGCCCTTACGTGCAGTGCAGCTGTCGCAGCGGCGACAGTAATCTTCCACGTCTCGTCTGTGTTGGCCCCAGTAGAATCTCTGTCGCAGGCGGCGGAGAGTCTTAGAGACCCCAAAGTGACCAGATCCTGGAGTTCCATGCACTGACCGAAGTACCGTCTCCCGCAGGGTCCTCGGCACCACCACCTGCCACCGTGTCTCTCCTGTAGCCGGTTCCTTCCACCCCCTCTGCAGCACTCCATCACACAGCCGCAGGGCTTCGAACATTGACCATAGCCCTTTTGTGGCACGAGAAAACTCAGAGATCTGTTCCCACCGGGGTTTGTGTTGTGCAGCCACCCAAGCGGTCACCGGCCTGATGTCGACATCCCCCTCCTGATTCTTCCTCCATTCGGCAGCATCTACAGCTAAAAGTCCATGGTCAGTTGATGCCCCGACTGGTCCCACAGCTGCACATATCACCTCAGCCTGTAGACATTCCCTCTCCTGTGTCTCTATCTTCACGCAGTAGCGGCAGTCATCACTGTAGCAGGGCCGGCGGGAGAGTGCATCAGCGTTGCCGTGCTGCACGCCAGGTCTGTGAATTATGGTGAAGTCATATGCTTGTAACTCTTCAATCCAGCGTGCCAGCTGACCTTCTGGTTCTTTGAAGGACATGAGCCACTGTAAGGCAGAGTGATCAGTCCGGACTGTGAAGTGGAGGCCCCCTAGGTAGTACCTGAAGTGCCGGATGGCGCTGACCACAGCAAGCAGTTCCCGTCTGGTGACACAGTAGCGGCGTTCAGCTTTGTTAAATGTTCTGCTATAGTAGGCCACTACTCTCTCTCCTTCTGGTGTCACCTGGGCCAGCACGGCTCCTGCTCCACTGTTGCTGGCATCGGTGTCGAGGATGAAGGGAAGGGTGGGGTCAGGGGGAAAGAGGATCGGTGCCTCCACTAGGGCTTCCTGTAGTAAAGCAAATGCTGCTTGACACTCCACTGTCCATGAAAACACCTCTCCTTTCTGTAACAGGCGGAACAGCGGCATAGCTATGCAGGAGAACCCTTTCACAAACCTCCTGTAGTAGGAAGACAGGCCCAGGAAGCTCTTCAGGTCCTGCACAGAGCTGGGGGTGGGCCAGTCCTTCACAGCCTGCACCTTCTCTCCCATGGTGCCGACGCCGCCCTCCGTTAGCCTGTGACCGAGAAAAGTCACCTCACGCTTCACAAAACAGCACTTCTGGGGGTGCAATTTCAGTCCTGCTCCAGCCACTCTCACCAGCACACGTTTGAGGGCCCCGAGAGCTGATTCGAAGGATTTCCCATGGACGAGGATGTCGTCCAGGTAAACAACACACTCATGGCGGGGGATGTCTGCCAGTACCTGGTCCATAAGCCTCTCAAACGTGGCAGGGGCATTACAGAGGCCGAATGGAAGAACTTTAAACTGCCATAAACCCCCGTTGGTGATGAAGGCTGTCTTCTGTCTGGCCTCAGGGCAAAGGGGGACCTGCCAATATCCGCTGCGTAGATCCAGGGAGGAGAACCAGGAAGACCCTGCCACTGTATCGAGTGCCTCATCGATGCGAGGAAGTGGGTACAGGTCCTTCTTGGTCACTTTATTGAGCGGTCTGAAGTCTACGCAGAACCGAAAGTCCTCCTTCTTTTTCTTAGGAACCATGACTACTGGAGCGGCCCAGGGGCTGTTGGAGGGTTCGATGAGTCCAGCCCGTTGCATCTCCCCCAGTGCTTTATCCGCTGCAGCTTGTCTGGCCAGAGGGAGGCGTCGTGGTCTCATTCTAATGGGCTGTGCATCTCCAGTGTCGATGTTGTGTTCGATGAGATCTGTCCGGCCAATATCGGTCTCAGACAGTGAAAAACAGTCTTTGAATTCCAGCAAGAGCTGCAGCAGCAGGTTCTGCTCATTGGGAGTTAGTCCATCAGAGTTTCTCTGCCAGACCTCTGTCACTGCCGAAACTCTCTCATCGGCGACAGGTTCTGCAGCAATGACTGGGTGAAGACAAGGGTCCAGGGTCGGCAGGGTGGGGGTTTGTGCAGGTGCCGTCATCTGGGAGTCGCAACAAGCAACGGCGTCGGTCACTGTCTCGGTTGTCTGTGTTATAATGGTGTG